TGTCGATGATAATGATAAGTTATGTAACAGAAAATCAGATGTACGTATTTACTTTTTATAATATTCGGAGGTGCTCATATAATAACTTATACATCTCAAATGAAACTTTAACATGTTATGCTTTATATTTAGACTGATTATCTCCAATTATCAACGGTGAGTTTTGTGTTTCCAAAGCCGAGCAAATCAGCACTTTTTCGTTTTCTATTTAGGATCGTCATTATCGAATACTAACAATAAGTTTTTATCCTTCAAATAAAAACGTCTTATTGCTTTTTCTTTTTCTATTTAGGTTCATTGTCATCATCATCGAATATCAGCGGTACGTTTTTATTCTTCCAAAAACAAAATGAATTACTACGTTCTGTTTCTGTTTAGCTTCAACATCGTCCAGTATCAACGGTGAGATCTATTTTCAAGTAGAGTCTTAATACTTTTCCTCCTTCTATTTAGATTGATCTTCGTCGAACACCAATGGTAAGATTCTCAATTTTAAAGCCATATGAATTAATCTTTTTTTTCTTTCATTTAGATCGTTCATCGTCGAACACCGATGGTAAGTTTTCCACTTTCAAAATCGGCAAGATTAATACTTATTCTTCTTTCATTTAGATTGATCATCATCGAATATTTAAAAAATGTTTTAATAGAAGACTTCATGAAACTATTTCAACATCTTCCTTCTAGAAGCTTTCGTTGCACACCCAAACCACCACATTCAAATGGTTTTCAGAAACACCACCCTCTCATAAAGTAATAGCTTCTTTATCTCACAAACTGTTGAAAGGAGTATAACTTCCAAAGATTTAATAGTTTGTGAGATATAGAAGCTGTTACTTTATGAAAGGGTGGCGTTTCTAAAAACCATTTGAATGTGGTGGTTTTTGTGTGCAATGAAAGCTTCTAGAAGGAAGATGTTGAAATAGTTTTATGAAGTTTTCCACAGAACCATTTTCTTATCTAGAAACTAAAAGGTTTTGCCGGTTTTGCACAGAACCATGTATCTCACAGAACCTTTTCTAGGGGTTCTGAATTTTACCAGCGGGCCGAACCCCTAAAAAGGTTCTGCAAAACTCCTTTTTTTTCAGAGTATANTTACCGGATCCGACCATCCGACAAAATCCGATCGGATTCCTGGAAACGGAATTGCATTGGAATCCGACTAGAAAAATCCCGTCGGTTGTTGCAAATTTTATGAGCGATCTTTCTAGCTATATTCTATGATGATCCTTAGAAAATCCAGGAAATCCATGTTTCGGGTCCGACGAGATCCGACGTGGGATCCGATCGGATCCGAGACCGTCGGAATCCAATGCAATTCCGTCACCAGGATTTCATCGGATCCGTCGAATTCCTGTAGGATCCGATAAAATTCTGTACTGGATCCGATGGGATCCGATGGGATCCGGTGGGATCCGAGTATGGGATTGTTCGACCTGGGATAATAGGCGCTTTTACTAAATGTGCTTTCCGACGGTACACCGGTGACAGGAGTGACAAGATACTTTCTTGCCAACATTGGAAAAGTTGGTAATGATTGATGATTACAATTCTAAAAGACTGCAACACATTTATCTTTATTCTACAACCCAATCTTTTTCTCGGAATACAGTTGGTACGAATAAGTGTATATGAGAAATGTTCATCTCTAATCTTCAATCAATACATGCGAAGTAATATATTCTAACTGTTTATGGCCATATAAGAATTACTTGGCTAACGATAGATACATTTACTGATATGTATTTAAAACCATATGTGACGTTTTCGAATGTTAGTACGAGAGTCTAAATGGCAGATAAGTTATAGAACTATACAGAAATCAGAGAATCTCAATCTCTATTAAGACTTTTTTTAAAAGAACTCACGTAAATTTACATCAGTCATAACATGTTCTTGAATGAACTATATGGTTTGTAGAGGATAGGAAACTTCTCTCGCATCAACCATAATTCATCACTGTTTTTTGACTCAAGTGTAAAATCCAAATCTCATCCTCAAATCTCAAACCTAAAGATCAAATGCAAATCCAAATCCAAATCTAAAGACCAAATCCAAATCCACACAACAGACCCAAACCCAAACCAAATCCACAGATTTAAGTACCAAATCCAAATCTTCACTAGGATTTGTTGCACCCCTAAATTATTATTTACAAAATTCAACAAGAAATATTTCAAATAATAATTTCAAAGGATCAAGTTTAATACCTACAAAGAATGCTGGTTCATTAATTGTATTTGCATGTGCACCAGGTACAACTGCAGATGATGGAAATAATAAAGATAAAAATGGATTATTTACAAAATATCTTTCAACACCAAATGAAGATATTCGAATGATTTTAAGTGATATTACAAATGATGTTATTCAACAATCAAATAATCAACAAATTCCACATGTTACTCTTTGTTTAAGACACAAATATATTTGTTTATTTAATGGACAAAAAAGTAAATAATATCTCAGAAAATTTTCTTTATATAAATCGATTTTATATACGAAAGTGTTAACGAGATTTCAAAACTTCTCATATCATAAAATATTTGATTTTTCCTTATTCAATTTAATAGAGAAAATCTTTCTTATTTATCTTTAGAAATAAAATTTATTAGATGGAATCAAATTGGAAAAATTGTTGCGGTAGGAAATCAATTAAATCAACTCGATGATCCCACAGGAATCTTTGTTGATCGGAAAAATCATTGTATTATTCAATGGAAATCTAATCAAATACAAGGACAAATCATTGCTGGAGGAAATAAAGAAGGAAAGAAATTGAATCAATTAAATAGACCAATAGATATGATTATTGATCAACAAAATCATTCGATTATCATTGCTGATTATGGGAATAGACGAGTGGTGAGATGGTCAACAAATCAAAAACAAGATATTCTCATTCAAAATATTGATTGTCAAGGTTTAACAATGGATCAAAAGAGATTTCTTCATGTTTCTGATCGAAAGAAGAATGAAGTGAGAAAATGGAATTTAGATAAGATTAATGAAAATAAAGAAGGAATATTAGTTGCAGATGCAAATGGAAAAAGATATCAACTGAATGAACCTACTTTTATCTTTGTTGATAAAGATCAATCTCTTTATGTCTCAGATTCCAGAAATAATCGTGTGATCAAATGGGTGAAAGATACAAAAGAAGGAATTGTTGTAGCTGGAGGAAATGGTCAAGGAAACAATCTCAATCAATTGTCTTCTCCTACAGGATTGTTTTGTTAATGAATTTAGTCAAATCTATGTAGCAGATTGGGGAAACAATCGAATAATGCGATGGTGTGAAGGAGATCGAGAAGGTGAAATCATTGTTGATGGAAACGAATTAAATCAATTGAGTTTCCCTCAAGGTTTATCATTTGATAATGAAGAAAATCTTTATGTTTCAGATAGTAGAAATCATCGAATCATTCGATTTGATAAAATTGATTGAAATGAACTTTTAAAATAAAAAAGAAAATGAAGAGAGACTTTTGTTTAAAAATATTAAATTCACTTATAATCAGAAGAGAAGAATATTTCATTTGTTTTATTAACCCTTCTAATATCAACTATTAGATGATTATTGATTCTGTTTAGAATATGATATTCATCGAAAAATAAGAGAAACGTTTTTTCTTTTTTTATTCTACGACTGTCAAGAAAAGAAATTTCTGTTATTTTAATTAATGTATTTCAAGTTTAATTTATTGTTGGCAGAGCAGATCGTAGTGCATGTTTTGTTAAAGAACCTGTATTCATTTTAACTTCCTCTCTTATTCGTGCTCCAATACGATTAATGTGTCCGTTTCGATTATGCGAACATAAAATAAATCGTATAAAATCACGATGATACAATGATGTTGAAATGATCCAGGTCGAACTCATTCTATCGGATCCGATGGGAATTCACCGGAAGTTGCCGAAATCTTGGCAACAGAATTCCGACATGCGGTTCCGGATGTCGAAAAGTGTCAGATTCTCAGAGGCTCCGACAGGATCCTAGTTATTTCGACAATTTCCGGCGAATTCCCCATCGAAACGGGTACATCGAATCCTACTGGCCGGACGCAAAAATCCGATGTCATCTGGATGATCGGATTCAGTCGGATATTCCTTGTCGGATTCCAATGTAATCCGCAGTTTGCCTTTGATATCCGATGATTGGATCTGACGATTTCCGATCTTATTCCACGTAGTCCGATCATCAGAAATGATCGGAATTGGCACGTTCACATCGACAGGATTCCATGATAAAACCGACCATTGACTGCTATCGGAACTGGTCGGATTGAAATAATGTTCTTTGTGTGTTGATAAAAAACAATCTCCACATTGAACAAAAACACAATGATGACAGAGAAATTCCAATTGTTTCATTGATGAAGATGAAACAATGTCTGAACAATGCTCGATGTATCGGTGTAAAGCTAGCACCAGATAGCGAAAAATCTAAATAGAATCTTCTCAGTCGTTTTCCCGTCCATAAAAACGACACCATTTGATGTAGAATTAAATTCTGCATCGAAAGAATCTGTTTCTACGGATGGGAATTCATTTGAACATAAGATTTTTATGATTTTTCGTTATCTGGTGCTAGCTTCACACCGATCTCAATGTTTATAAATCTCCTTCAAACACTCATCACAATAATTATTTTCACCTGATTCACATCGAATTGTTNCCCAAAAAAACGAAACAAAACGCTTTCTCGAAAAACTAATCACGAATTCGTGATCCTCGATCCCGAAAACTTCATCAATCGTTTGCTAATGACCATGGTTAAGTTTTCATTCATTTATTGAATGCTGCTATCTGATAGGATTATGCAAACAAGCAAACTTTTTGTATTTCAACGACCAGATTTATGACGCTATATCCCTTTCTTTCAGAAAAGGGAACAAGCACAAGTATTATGTGGTTCTCGTTGTCACACCCAGGACGATCGTTCCTGGAAGCGGTATTCCGCTTATTTCCCGTGAAAACCCGCAGGATATCTATAGTATCCGCGCTGGAAACCACGAGAAAATACTTGGAATCCCACTGAAGGAACCAGTAACCGTATCCGACTAATAGTTATGGTGGGTTCTTGCTGGTTCCCGATAAAACCTTTTAAATGCGATGAAAGGATTCGGTAGCCGGAATACTGCTTCCATGAAATCCCCGGAAGGTCGTGGAACTAGTCAGTTCCGAGCTGGATTCTTCGACCTGGGCAATTCTTTAACTTGCGATAATAAATGATGATCATTTATTGAAATACAACTTTACTTATCTCTTTAATTGCTAGAAATAACTTCGATACGACATATATAAAGCTGTTGAAATGGTCGGCGTTGGAATAGGTACGATCAAAAATTTCTCGTAAAATGCCTTTGGTGTGCAGAGCATGTAACCCCGATTGTACGTCAAGTCCTCGATGCTATCGGTATCGATAAACAAAAAGTGATTGTCGCTGTTCAACAAATTCCTGCACGAATGGAAGAAGTGAAACCAGCACTCAACGGCGATGAAAAGGTATTGGCTAGTGTTCGCTTTAACATTTTGGTGAAAACTTGAATCAATTTGTCTTGCAGATGTTTATAACTTTGTGCAAAATCAACGTCAAGCTAGAATCCAAATGTACATGCCCGATCCAGCGTCCACAATTAGAAAGATCTTGAAAGCATCCGATATAAAAAATGTTTTCGAAAAAAACAAAGATGTGTTAGATGCAGCTGCGTATAAAATCCTCGGTCCAGCTATAGGCAGCATCGAATCAATCAAATCTGGTCTGGATAGTTTCGAAGATCATATACAGGCTGTTAGACAATGTCTGGAAGAAAATATTCATCAGTCGAAGTTAAGCTTTGGATCAGTTGAAAACCAATGTGGTGAACTGCATCGAGTGAGCAATCGAAATTTGGCTGGTAATTTGATAGTTGGACGGATCTTTGCTGAGTGTATCGGAAAGTTTATGAAAAAGAATAACAATCAAACGATGAAAATGCTCGACGATTGTATTGATCAAACAATTACTCATCCAATTGCGGAAAATATGTGTGCAAGAGAAATTGGAAAGACTGAAAAACAATTATCGCAAAAGTTTCTCACAGCCATAGCATTCATTTAGCAACAACAAACGTAAACATAAAAATTGTTTGACAAATTTTATTTCAGAACTAACCGAGAGTATTTATATTCTAAACAATGTTTAACTTTCTTTCAGCTTATTAGATGAAAGTCTTGGAATAACAGAAAAGGCAATGCTCTACTCTGGGAATGACAGTAACAGGTTATTTAATATTACACAGAAATTATACATGCCAGAGAAAGAAGCTAGCGATAATATTTGTCAAAATCTGACTAAATGAAGAAGTACATTTTATGATTGATCATCAATGTCATGAATCATGGAGATTATTGTGTGTGTGTGTGTTGCTTTCATTTTCATGATTCAATACTTTTTAAAACTCTTTTTTAATCTTCCGGAACCAGAAAAAGTTAAAATACGCAAAATGTAATATTTCACTAATAGTTTATTATCATATATTGTGTTACACTACGTAATTAGAAAAGAAATATCGTTTTGCTCTTTCGTGATTTCGAATCTTTCATAATAGTTAAGGAACGACGTTCATTTTTCTTGTTGTCACTGAGGTTATGTGAAGACGAGCTGTTTAAATTTTCGTGATAGAATGGATATTATCAATAGAAATGAATTTTATAAAGTATGAATTGTCTGAGATGTTTTCACGGCATAGGAAATCGTTAGACAAGTTTTGGAAAATAAAGTAGAACACAAGTTCTGATTGGTTGAACGAGACCTCTTTAATCTTTGACCTATACAGAATATATTTTCTTTTTTTAATCAATAAAACTTCAATGAAGCATGTCAAAAAACGTGGATAATGAAGTAATTCATGGATGAGTGTGAAAGACAAGTAACAGCATCTATTCACATTTACTTAGACTTTCACTTTCACTGATGCTAAACATCTCATGATAAAAAAACTTAATGTATGATATTACTCATTAGTTGATCCGTTATCTTTTACAGAGAGGACATTCTTCATAAATATCTCTTTGTTTAGAAACATCAACCAAACTTATTTCGACTGAACCAACTCTCACAGCAGCAATCGTTGTCACTGGCAGACAAAATTCGTTTCTATATTCATATCTTTCCTTTTATATCTGAAAGATTTCGCTGCTTGTAAACAACTTTTTCAATTTTCTATTTGTACAGCACACAAACAAACAGTTCAATCGACCCTTTTATACAGATGTTTGCATAATTAAATAGAAGATCATGTTTCTTCTAATGACGAACATATCAATGATATTTCTAAACCGAATTCATCAGTGTATCCAATAAATCCATCTTTCTCCTTTATAAATATGGTGAACAATGAGGGTGAAAGCGATGAGTGCATATGCATGACGTCTTTTCTCGATTTTCGCTTTATTAATGATGATCATCACAATTCTGGTATAGATAAAAAAACATTGTCTGATATTTATGCGATCTAGTTCGTTCAGTCTTTCTAAGCAAAACAATCAATATCGAAGAAATTTTTGAATACGCTGATTGCCGCTGTCAGCGACATACAAATTAAGCTGATTATCTAAAGCTACGCCATACGGAGTATTCAGATGCGTTGCATCGTTACCAGACATTGCAGTAACACCGGCAATAGTTGTTCCATTTGCTTCACCCGATAAGAATAATTGAATACGATGATTAAGTAGATCTGCAACGTACATATTTCCCATGGGATCAAATGTCGTCTTAATTGGTGAACTGAGAAGTGTCGATGTCGAACCCCTGGTCCCATTTATACTACCAGCAACCAATGTCCATCCGCTATCACCTATTTTCCAACGAAGAATATTGTTTCCATTGTAATTAACAATTACAAGACTGTTCGACGATGATTCGAAATACACACTGGTAGGAAAATTCAACTGTGAAATATTGTTTCCGTTTCCATTTCCTCCGGCAACTACTGTTCCTGAACTTGCGTTATACAAATAACGCATTATGCGGTTATTAGAAGTATCTGCTACATAAACTGTACCGTCATTCATATCTCTTGACATACCGAATGGTGTATACAACTGATTGCTCGCATTACCGGAAATACCTAAACAATACAAGTTCTTTATTTACCTAAAATTGAAGAATATGTCTCATTCACTTACCAGTGCCTGCAATCATTTTTCCTGACGAAGCATTATTCGGCCAGAACAGAATTCTTGAGTTAATATATTCTGTTATATACATGTTGTTATCAGAATCAAGAAGGATATGTAACGGGTAATTTAATGAATTCAAATTTGTTCCTGAAGAACAGTTCGTATTTCCAGCGACTGTAGTACCGGATGATGCGTTTCTAAACCAACGCTGAATTCGATGACACGAATAGTCAGCAATATACATAGTATTAAGATAGTCGACAGCCAGATGGATTGGCGTGTTTAGGCGATCATTAGCTGCACCGCTAAGCCCGAGAGTACCAGCGACAGTTATACCAGTTGAATTCCAACGCAATCTAGCCTCGGCAGCTATTCACAAGAAGGACTACCACGTTTCAGTCATCAAGTTTACATAAATACGTATGTCGCTTACGATAAACTGTTTTTGTTTTTCTTTGTGTTAAAATAACCGAAGGAATGATAATGATCGGCAATAGTAACAAGAAGCTGATCACCAGTATTGCAGCTGCGCATATTTTCTTGCGTCTAAAGTATATTCATTGATGATTCGTCGCTTGCTGAAGAAAATTTGTATACTTTGCTTTTCTCTTGTGCTCCAAATAGCCATGATGATCCTTTGTAATACCAAGACGACTTGAATGTGAATGAAACATCTAATATTGCGAATCAAAATCTATTCTAATCGAATGGACTGGACTTACTTTTGCTTCTGTTACTTTCGAGCTGCTGTTTGTTGTCGCTGAACGATCGTCGAAATCAGGTGATATTCGATTCGAAGTGTATCGATTTCTCTATGGTGAATCATAAAAAATAGTCGTGCGTTAGTTCGAAGGTGAATTTACTTTGAAAACAGGGTGGATATATTGTTGAATATCAGTTGATTCTGAAGAGCATTGTGATCCAATTAGGGAGTGCGAATAAGGATGGACTTCAAAATGTTGATTAGTGCGAGGTCCCATTGGTTGTGTATTCTTTTGCGACCTTGTTGTGGTTGTATTCGTAGGAGAAGTTCGGCGCGGTGGTCGTATCGATACATGAATGATTCTCGTAGATTTTGACATGTTAGTACTGTGTTTTCGATGACGATTACGACGATGTTGGATAATTTTCGATCGATGAGTTCCGTTTACGAGCATAATTTCAGTATAGGTTATGCTGACGAAGTAATGAACAAACTTTTTTCTGCTGGGTTGCTTTCTTATACGAGCTGGTTTTTTTTGTCATCAAAGGTTTCCAAATATTGATTACATAGTTAATGAAGTAGGACGATCACAGAAAAGATGAAATTTTTTTATTGAAAAGAAACAACAAAGCCACCCACAGATCAACATGTATATGAACTCACTTGAAAGATGTCCGCAAACAGTGTAACAATTCCTTTGCGAAAGCAGACACTATTATGTAGACGATGAGTGCTTTTTTTTTTCAAAAGATTCATTCCATACTAATTCAAACAAAGGCAATAAAACTGAGTGCAAACGAAACTGATTCGACATTTTTCAGTTCTAGAACAAATCAATGCCGGTAGAATGTAAGAATATTCAACGTTGAAGGTCACTCATTTCTTTTCGTAATGAAGTTAACCAACTGGCTATATATATTTTCGATCACATCTAATGTCATACTGATCCAGCGAGATCGAATCCTATGTCTAATCTCTAAACTCAGTGTTGATCTATCGCATTCCTTTTATAAATCTCAAATAGGTCATATATATACCACCACGCTATAAAGTTACGATTTGTTGCTTCCAAGCTATCTTTAGAATGATCTTATTGTGCCATTAATATGTTTGTAATTACACTCATGGTTCCTATGATCTGGCAAAAATTCAAGTCTATTCGTGACACGATATTTTATTGTAATACTTCCAGAAAGCCTGAAGCATGAGCTCTATTATTGTGTGAGAATGCTCGTTAGTTCACATAGATCAGATGGGATGAGTGAGAAAAGAGAAAATGACTTTTTTGGCATTTTTCAGCTGTTCAGTCCAAGTTGATCCCATAACAGTCACGAGGGAGTGATCTTTCGCAAAGTACCTTTCCATCGAGCAAATGAATGGAAAATATCAAAATAATGAGGTTATATTTTGATATGGAATTTCAAGAAGAGAGAAAAGTCATTCTACTATACTTCGATGAGATTGTTTGTACTTTAGTGACATAAATACCTTGAAATTATCTTTGCTTGGTATAAACAATGTTCAAATGACATCAATATGTCAGACATAATAGATGAAAGAGGATTACGTTTGAACACAGATATTAAAATCATTTAAATTAGATCAGGGAAGATCATGAATCTTTCGAGATAAATTGACTACGTTCATGCACTTTCTTGAACTTTAGAATATAGATGTTCTACTGTCTATCAGTTCGCCCGGATCGATAAAAACATGGATGTGTACCAGGATTATCTCAACAGCGAAATTTTATTTTCTCATAGATAGAAAAGAATATACCCAACAATATATTTCATCCCATAAGTATATTATCCAACTGAAGAATACGCGGAATACAATTACTCATTAGTTGTTTGGTTTTTCACAATTGGTACTTTATGTTAATATAAGAAACAAATATTACGAAGAAAATCTAATTAGAATTACAGGTAACACGACACTAATCGATAGGACCTTGCTCCGTTCTTTTCCAGTTCAAGTTTGTATTTTTTCTAATTCTTATGCTTCTTAGTTTCCTTTTGTGTCTGACTTTCTTGAACTTTTTATATGATTTTGATCATCTTGAAAAAGTCTTTCCAAATAAATATCTGCTTTTTCTTTCACATCGTTTTTCTTATAGACTTGAGAACAAAACCAAATGATTAGTTCGCGTTTCGTTAAACAATGTTATCTAATTAATTGATGGAAGAATGATTGTATAAATTGTTCATATGTCTTTTTTCCATTAAATACAAATAACATCGTCAAGGATTTGTTTTTTAAAACATATTCTTTCTTGTAAATTATTAGATCTTCACAATGCATATTTTATCATAACATAGTGGAAAAAGAAAGAAACAATTCGCTTGTAAATCGTACCTGATATGCTCCTGTAGCGTAAGTGGTAAATGCATCCGGCCGTTAACCGGAAGACAGATGGTTCGAATCCATTCGGGAGCGACTTCTTTTTCGTTTTCATAATAGTATTTGAAACTATTGTGAAAATAATTGAGATATTACGAAAGTTTTGATCATTTTCGATCGAAAAAGTCATAGGCATTATATGTGAATCCTATCTTTTTTCTTTCTTTGCGTTATGCAATGTTTCATTATCGAAATAATACTATAATCTCTTACATCCGCGTTACATTTCATTACCAGAAATCGACTTTGGAGAAACCAAGCCGATGTTCGAACGAAATTTGTCTATTTTAACCCTTCGCTTGGATGATTACGTCATTACCCAAAGATGAGCTTCCTATTTAAATGTCGTCAACGTCAACTTATCTAGCTCTCAGGAAAACTGTAGCGATTTTGCAGTTAATATCTACCTAGCATGAGCACTTATTATGTTATTATGGCCATTGAGGAATGTTTAGGACTATCTAGAACCCAGTATGGGTCACAGTTAGGTTTTCTAATATTTCCACTTGTTTCCTTGTTTACAGATCTCACTTTTCGAGCATCCTTACGTACTACTAAAACCGATTTATAAGTTACAGCTCCCGAAGAGACAGATCATTTTTGGGTGATGAAGTATTTACCTAAATCCACTTGTTGTAGACTTAAAGAAGATCTTTGATATAGGAGAGGTCTAATAGGTAATAAACAAAGCTTGAAGAGAGGAAGTATGGAAGAAACACTTCAAGTATGGCCAGAAGAGGTCTATAGATGTATGATAATGGGTGACGGAAATACGCCTGTGACAATTGCTTCCTGTATACGGCAGTGAAAAGTGTCTAACATACACCAAGAAAACATCTGTAGAAATAACGTGCCTATTTCTTTATGAGAAACGCGAATGGAAATGCTACCAGATGTACAATGGATAAACGCAATCGCACTGTTTTGTGTAACAAGGAAAGCATTGTTAAGGCTGGGAATCATGAATTACATTCCTTTCGCAGTGGATATCTCCTTTAGTTAGCTATAAACTCAACATTATTTCTAATCTTCCTAATTTGTGTAATTTATTTTTTGTTCAAAACAGGTCTAACTACGATCTCAACACCATCAACTGCAACGCCATCACCCACATCCACCCTCAAGATGCACTCTTTTATTGTTCTTTGTTGGTTGTGCTCGATCAAGTCATCTAAAAAATCTTCCAGATCGCTGCTAATTTGATTCCACGTAACATCCAATGTAGTGAGAGTCTAAAAGACACGAACATTCATATCACAGCGTTAGAAAAACAAAGAAAGAGTAATCACTGTATTGTTTCGTAGTGCATCGATCAGATGCTGTGCGCCCATGTCTTTGATTTCGTTATTATAAAGATCTAATGTCGTCAGTGTCTGTGTAAAAGTGTCAAATTATGAATACCAATGGTAGGAACAAAGAATGAAACTCACAGTGTTGGTACGTAAAGCATCTGCTAAGTATTCTGCTCCTTGAGCTCTAATTAGGTTATTAGAGAGTATCAATGTAGTGAGTATCTAAAGAAGTGGTTTGAGATCGAGCCATTCATCTATAAAATAATACTTACTGTATTTTTTCGTAATCCACGAGCTAAGTACTGCGCTCCGTCATCTCCCATCTCGTTAGACGAGAGATCCAATGTAATAAGTGCCTGTATAAACAAACACAAGTCAATATACGGAGAAGAATACTAATTATACCGTGTTAGTTCGCAATGCATCTGCTAAATATTGTACTCCCTCATCACCAACTTCATTGTTATAAAGATTGAGTGTAGTGAGTACCTATACGTCAAAAAGTATTGAGAAACTATTTGAGATATGTACATAACAAGACGATTAGATATACCGTATTCTGTCGCAATATATTCGCCAGACACCGTGCACCGTTTACTTCGATTCGATTTGAGGTGAGATTGAATTCTTTCAGAGTCTGTTCATAGAACATGTTCGACACAAAAAGAAGATTGAGAACATAGTAAGATTTACTGTGTTACTGCATAATGCATATGCTAAATGTTGTGCTCGGAGATCTCCGATTAGATGATCAGACAGATCTAATGAAATAAGTGTCTATGAAAAGATTCGCAAACATTTTAATTTTGATATCGCCTCAAATTTATAAGCTACCTGATATCGATTATATTCATCCACAACCATATTCAATCGTTTGCATACGTTGCGACCGGAATATAGTATAGCGAACTCGTCAAGATTGTCCAAAATACGATGGATAATGTTAGTAGGTAACGTCAAGATGGGCGAAGGAATATGATTTGTCATGGATATGTTGTTTGTTCTGTATTTGATTATAATAGCGGCGTCTTTTTTTACTGTGCTTTACTTATTCATAGAAAAAAAAACAAACAATCATGAGAGACGTACATTGCTCATACTCCAATGAGAAAGTAACTTTGTAAAAATAGATGGCAATATAAATCAACTGAAAGATTGTTGAATGCTTATTCGTGAGCCGCACACAGTTGCCTAATCAAGAGGAAAGTAGCGAGATTTAATCATAGTTTCATCGTACCTATCGAACATGTCCTCTGAAAATTTATTTAGGAAAAGCATAGGCTACTATAAGTAATCGAGCCGATAATTTACAGTACCCTTTCTTTTATGGATCTCTGCCCATTACATGTTCGATTATTTCAAGACATTTCAATACTTTTTTCGTCATTGTATTGGCGGCAAATAACTTGTATAGCCCAACCGGAGCATTAGCACAATTAGTTTTCCGGCGATGTATACAACTTATACTTCATCCTTCACAAGATCAACTGTAATGACAGGAAATATCGCTGTCGGATAGCCAAGAAGATTGCATATTTGTGCATAACGAGCATGATATGTTTCTCTTGCAGAAATCAGTTCATCGCCAGCTGCCGAAAGATTTCGCTCTTCTTCCGCTCTATCATAATAAAACAATGCGCTAACCAAATTCCTGCCCTTCTGATGATCGATCGGTTTCTAGCCGACAAGATTAAATTTGCATTTTTCACATTGCCCGACAACTTCATGAAGAGCTCGAGTGATTGGTGAATGAGGATGCACAATATTATCCTCCCTCATAATTTCGACTGATCTACATGGTAAGGATACAAGAGATGGATCTCTTACCCCCGATTCAGCATCTAATATTGCTTTCGTGGAAAGATGTAGGTCTTCTCTCGATCGCGCAAGTGGACCGATGACAACAATGATACTTTCTCTTCACATTTGTGATACTGCGAAACCTTGCAATGACACTCGAAAAGTAGTCGGCCGTAGTCCATAAACTCCATTATTCGCAGCTGGAGCACGTATACTTCACCAATACCAGCTCCCACTTCCATTACACTACCTTTTCGATCAAGTAGTGTCCCTTCTCCATCGGAACTTCCATCAGACGATAAATTTCGATTAAAAGAATTGACCAGAGTACCATAAATAGCACTGTCACATTCGGTATGCACCAGCGTTTGTGGCTGACTGGTACGAACGTAGAAGACAGTTGCTACTTCATAGAGAATTTTTAACATGAGTGCATCGTCTTCAGCGATTCGATCGATCCATTTCATCCAGCCTGAAGCATTTCTTCGACCTTGCATAGGTATTAGGTATTGATTGTCCAAGTAAACTTTCTATGGGAATCGGTTCATCTCTAAGTTCAAGCGCTCGTTGGATGGATGGAGACAACATGATTTAATGACTTCTATGGTCAAGGTGAAAATAATATAACTAAACGTCATCTGACTGTTCTTTTCTTTTAAGTCATATCTTTTGCCCTTTGGTATGATAACGCGCACTGAAGTTGTCTACCTACTACCGCAAGGTGGAACCTAAACTGTTTGAACGCTCAAGTATGTTCTCTCGTCAGTTTATTCAGTGCAAATGAAAGGGAACAAGACTATTTTCACTACACTGAAATCCGCTCCATGCTGATATTGTTTGTAATCGATACTTGCTATTTGATGAAAACTGTAACCATTCACAAGTAATATGTCTCATTAATATCGGTGATTACTAATTATTGGGTGCACACGATTATTTTTTCTCGATAGAAGCGGTTTGATTCGATCCCGAATGTTGATAAGACTTTGTCGTAGATCTGGAGTGATCCAAAAGAGAACTAAGAGCATCAATAGCAACGCTATATTCATGATCATGATCAGAACGCGAACAGTATTATTCGGTAATAAATCAGCACGAATGGTTACACATATAACAACAATGAGCACAGGGAAGCCAACAATTACCAGTAGAATATTTAATAAAACAATACGATGTACTATTGTTAAATCCCGCTGCATATTAATGAGTCGATTCCCATTCAATCGTGATGAAATCTCGCGCACATGACGCACGAGCAAGCGATAGATTACACTCAAAGTGATATCTGACAGAATGAACGATACTCCAGCTAAATAAAATACGCACGGAAGTGCGTTGAGCGAGACAAAACATAGATTATCTATCATCAACTTCTTCATGTTCCCTGTCAAAAGCACAGGTAAACCAAAGAGAAAATCAAATAACCATTGAATGAGAATAAAGCCTAGTTGGCGTGTATGCGTACGGAAAAATAGAATTCTTCGAACCTTGAAATATCGTTCAAGAGCTTGAAGAACTAAAGAATGATGAATCCATGCAATCGTCGAATGATAAAAATAAGCGCGTATGGAACATAACGGATCTACAACTGGCAATACTTGTTCGTCCCAAATGAACATATAACACACCGACGCAAAGTTTACAGACGAATAAAGGAGAATACCGAGAACAGTATTACACACTAGTAGAGTGAGAAAACTAGAATAACGATGGTGATTGACGAGAACGATGATGAGAAAAACTGATGCCACGAAACAATTAATAATACAAATAGATAGAAAAATTCGATTGACGACGATTGTCACAACCATCGTGTTTCAAATTAATAATTGCACTGATTTTCTGAAATGTAAAAGATCCACATGATAGCTCTCTCAATTTATATAAACATCCTTACAAACCATAAGTATAACTCACTCTTTAACTTGTGCTCATTCCTCTTACATCTTATTAACGTGCCGGAATTTCCCTTCTTAGATATTTGACTGGCTTCATCTGCACTTTTTCTTATTCTTATTATCTCTCCAGGAAATATCACACCTGTTCGCCTTCAAGCTTGTCGTTAGCTGATTAAGACATATATACTTTAGTGTAGAACACACGGAAGACATAAAATAACCACCCTAGTAGTTTGTCAATGTTGAAAACACTCAAGGATTATCAGCATCAGACGGTCTTATGTTGTGTGATATGTTTCCAAGTCAATTATAATCCAACGCTCAAATATAATTGAAAACTTATTCAGTTATCGAAGAGAAGGCAAAACGTTCATGAGCTGCATACGATTTGCCAAGATTTTATGCATATTATTTTGTATTTTATCATACTTTCCCCAAAGAAAAAGTTCAACAGTTTTTTAAGATTATTCTCTTTTGCGTTCTATATGAGTATTTTTGTTAAAAAAGTTCATGAATATCCGAAATAGCCTTCATACATGAGGGGTTTTCATAAACGGCACACCGTCCCAGACGCTCTTTGAAAGTTTGTGAAAGACAGCATAGCTAAAAAGTGTCATTATAAATATAGCATATAGTCACCAAATGGTTGCTGTGAAAAGAAAAACATGTGACACTAGATATGCCAGATTTTGGTCTTTGCCAAAGATAATTATCATCTATGAAGACAGAGTTTATATTTATTCATTCTCTGTACACAGGAAAGCCTAGATTATATACTAGAGCAAATTTTTATCACTAGAAATAATTCAAATTGATTCGCGAGCAGTTCAAACGCGTAGTTCATTGGATCAGCAAATGGATCGTTGGCCAAAAAAACAAAACTTATCTACAGGCAATTGTGAAAAAGAAGAGCAGAAGTCATATTCTTGAGACTCTTGTCTAGAGAAAAGATGATCGGCTTTTGATGTTGTTTCACACTTTAAAAGCGCTTTTTATACTATGATCGTTGACCCGAGCATAACATTTAAGAAGGTATTTTAAAAAAAAGTAAAATATGCCAAATAAAGATTACAATGAATAATTACTTTGAAAAATTAATGTTCGATGAGAACACGCGTAAATAACATCGAATCGTTTGACGTCATTCGCAGACGCACATCGTTGTTCTTTTTAAATCTTATCTTTTTCTATTCATACTATTTCAAGTAAAATTTCCATGTGCATATGATCATTAGCAGAGATTCGCAAACATATTTATGCCTTCGCATCAAACAGCTTCGACCTCTCACGCAACTTCATTTCTGATGAAACACTGTTTTGTTGAAGAAGATATTATCACAATTGTCACTTTTGCAGAGTGGCCTTTAAGAATTTTACAAACAAACAATTCAACAAGATGCTCGTGCTGTAAAAATTGGTCCTTGTGTTTCAAAACGATTCTCTTGTCATGCAGAAAACAGATTAACAATACATGATCTACTGGTTAATAGGTTATGTAGCGTTAAGAAGCCTTTGTTTTCAATTATCAGGAACTGAGGCCGAAAGAATTTTAATTAACATCAGAATATTCTTTTTCCTTCGTAAAAGCCAAGATAACTTCTTCTTCCTGTCGCATTTCAAAAGTACATAATAGTATCGAGTCCAAACATCAGATATTTGACAACATCAGACAATATCTTTCACAATCAGAGGTTTCCAAGAAAAAGTAAGTAAAGTATTCACACGGTGAATTTGTAAGTTTTGAACTAATGTATTAAAGATATCTTCTTTTTAAAATATTCCTATAGTTTCAATAGAAACAAAAAAGGTTTTCTATATTTTAGCGCATTAAAATGATACTTGACTAGTACCTGATGGAAAAATAAGCTGTAATAATATATTGCAACGATTCTCTCTCCGCCTACTTATTACTCCGTTGTTCAGATACTTGTCAGAGTGTGATTGTTGGATTGACTGCGGTTTCAGGTACATCTGCAAAGTTTGAACGTTAATTATTTCTGAGAATTCATCTCGTCAATCCTATAGAAACTACGACATTCTTGCTTTTCTATATGTCAACACCAAGGATGATTTTTGTTGAGACAGAGAATAAAAATCCTCAGATTTACCTCCGAGTTTGTCATTTCTTCTTGTTTATAAATACATCGATTATCATTTCAGATACACTTTCCCTACACATTGAATAACATGTCGGCAGCTTCTGCACCAGCTCTAATTCAAACAGCTATTACTCAGTACGTCTTTCCTATTATTGTCGTATTTGGTAATTTTGGCAACTTGTGTATGATTGCTGTTTATATGCAGAAAAAGTTTCGAACCAACTCTTGTGCAATCTATCTGATAGCATCATCGTTTTGCTGTTTAATCAGTGTGAATTGGAGTATCATTCCCCTCGTGACTGCAATCAACGATTACGATTTAGTGAACAAATCATTGGCATTTTGCCGTATTCGTGGTTATCTCTTACAGGTCTCGGGGCAATGTATTCGATATTTTCTCGTGTTAAGATGTGTTGACCGTTACGTTTTGTCCAGTGCACACGTTTCCATTCGAGCATTCAGCCGGCCACGAATAGCATATTTGGTGGTTGCAATCACTGTGATCATTTGGAGTGTGCTTTCAGCTCAGCTTCTCATTTGGGAATCCATCGAAGCTGGACGATGTGGCATCTATGGACTTTTTGGTCAGATATTCACAATTTATGTTATAGTTTTTGTCGCCCTATTGCCTCTCTGTTTTATGATTATCTTGGGTATTCTGCTGATGAAAAATCTGCGTCAATCGCGTACGCAGGTTCGACCAACTCACAATAATGCCAATGGTAATCGATTAAACCAACGAGACGCTTCGTTACGGAGACTTGTATTAACGGAAGCATTAGTCTACATTATTTGTACTTTTATGTTTCCAATAGTGCAAATCTATGCCCAGGCGACAGCAAGTATGACGTCGAACAAGTCTACCCAACAAAAGCAGATCGAGGCGTTTCTGAATTTTTTTGCACAATCGTTACTGTTGTACTTGAATTATAGCACAACATTCTATATTTACGTAGCCGTATCGAAATCGTTTCGTAACGAAGTCAAGAAGATAGTGTTGATTAATGTTCAAAAGTTAAAAGTAAATACGCAGGATCAAACACGCAGATTGATTCATGGGAGCAGACTAACAGGACATGTTCGATAGACTACTGTCGTCTAATTGTGGAATATTTACATAACTATAAGACTATATTTAGCACTTGTTCAATTATCGGCTTGTTACCAAGTGAAACTCTCCTAGTACTACCAGAAAAAAATCTTCATCCGAACGTTAGTACCAGTATTCTTGACATCGATCGTTCAAACTCTTCAATTTCATCTTCTTTTGTCACATAAACAATTACTTAGTTATAATGAATGAACAGTGTATGGTATCGAAAAACATGCAGGATGATTAGTATGGCGACCACATAAAAATAGCTGTGATTTCAATCTTTATGCGTTCATAACGTTTAGTTGTATATTCTAATTACTTGTCCAGTAGTGTGCCCGACCGTGTTCGACGATTATTTTGTGTATATCCGTCAAAAGATTTTAGCTTAAAATCCGATTTTTAACGTATGCATCAAAGACTACAAAAGTCATATTAATGCATTCACTGGATTTACTTTGACCTGCGTCATTTTTCTCTGTTGTATTTTTTCTCTTTTCTAATTGTTTTATTTAACTTTTGAAACCAAATATAGATATTGAAAAGTATTCTTTTTGTTGGAAAAGTCTAGATTATAATTTTTTCATATTCGTCATTGTTAATACATGCATCATACTAGCATTTTCCTTCACAATAGCAGATATTGCGTTTTACATGAGATTCAAAATCAAGATAATCTTTGTTACTGCGAGCTGTACCAGAAACGAGACTATATAAATGCTTGATATGTTAAACTAGTCAGAACATCTACTACATTGTTTATATGGGCGATCAGCATAGATGAGTTCAGTTTAATCAAAAAATCGAAGTCTTTTCACACGATTGAACGGCATAATGCAATAATTTGTTCTATACGAACAGAAATTTTCCTATCAAAAGAAAAGCTTCTTTAACACTTACCTAGCTGAACACAGAACAAAAAAGAATCAATATTGTGTTTTGTCTCACTATTCACAAAATATTCCTCTAAAACTTGAATGTCAACGATAATGTCTCTCCTATAAATTGTTATTACATTATACAAATACTTTATGTCTAATCAGATGTTGTATTTACCCACATGTTAACAAAAAATATTGAAATAGCTACTATGTTTTCAAACTTCGCACACGTCTGCCGTCAATTCATTATACTATACGATCAACATATGTTTCATTTCCTTTATTATCGCATTGAATATAAACGAAAAACTTGCGTTCGAGGGAACGGCATACCTGTCTCTTTTTAGAACATGAATCTGAATTTCTCCGGTTTGTCTAGGCACATACCGAAAGTAACGATATTACAATAGATCAGGCGTGCCTTAATTCTACCAATAGTTTTCAAAACATTTCTCTATGCGGAATAAAATAGTTTTAAACAGACGCTTCAAAAAAACCTTATATGCAAATGAGCTGTACTATCTTAATTCACAGAGAGATGCATCGATGATGCCTTTACAAATTCAAACAATTTCAGGATATATTTTAGGGAGACATCGCTCTCGCCAATTATAACAATTAACAAATTAATGATTTTTGTTCAAAGTCCTGGCACGCCAGCAAATATTGTCCCGTTTTGTCTCCGATATTGCATATCGCGATGTGCTTAAAATTAACCGTCTCCAATAACTAAATCTTAATTTTGCAAATTGATACATATTTGGCCGTTCAATCTTATTCCTTACTATTTCTTTCAATTTCGTACGAAGAAACTCTTCCGTAAGTTCACTCATATCATTAATGATGACAGCAGGTAGCATATGAAACAGAGGATTCAGTGTTGAATTCCATACGATAGGTATTGCATCGAGATAAAATGCTTCCCATGTACGATGACAATCAAGTCCATTACCACGAGGAGACAACCACATTGGATATTGTCGATTACGAATATAGATCTGTGAAAGAGATATATGTTCAGATGGCCGAGGCTTTTCAACGCATGTAATAGATGTCATGTTAGACATTGATTGTTGTGAACAATAGCTTTTCCAAATTTGACGACGGAGTCCAGTTGGATCTGTCGTCGGTTCAAAATTGATGAGAAGAAGTTTCTCAGGAGAATATCCATTCGACAGTCGTTGTGTTAAATCGACCAGATATGTATAATTATGTGGTTCATCTGCATCGCCATATATTGCTGGTACGGTATTATTCGGGATTTGTCGATAGACTTCTTGGAGACTATTCGCCATTTCGAAACAATTGATACCAATAGGAATAGGAGTGAATCGTAAACTCTGGGATGGTTGAATATTAGCATTTTGACCAAACCAATGGATAATCTTGGATTTTTTATCATGAAGATAAGCGAGATGCTCTTGTGGTACTGATAGATCTCCTTGCGACGTAATAAGAACGAATTGATTACGCAAATATGGATAAATTCCACCAAAGAACTGATTCAAAAAATCTGCTTTCACATAAAGGATACTACCAGACGGTAGACAAGGTGCGAGATAACGGCCATTTATAACCGATTGAGTTTGTTCGGCGAAAGCCCAATCTGGCCAGCCAAACACCCAATCAGCCAAATTACGGAAATTCTGTGGGCAAACGAATTCTGAGAAATGTTTTACATAGTGGGATTGATCAAATATTAATTTTTTAGACGTAAGACTCCTTTTGTAAGGACATGTAAAAGCACAAGGAGGTGTTCTATATACAAATATATAATATGAAACCAATAGACATATCGTTAAAATAAAACAGCAATAGCGTATGCAAACAAAGCAGGATTGCTTTCGCGAATCGAGTAGATATAACAGTTTCATGATAAAATTGTTGAGACCTAGATTTTTTGCATCAAAATAAGTATGTTATAGCCATTAAGTTCTTTGCGGAAAGAGACAGATGATGAAATTTGTGACTATTTTACAAAGAACTATCTAGTTCGAGCACGAACTCAAGATATCAGCAGTCCATTACTCATCTATTTCCTCAGCCGACATACATTGCCTTGAGCATATGTAAGTTACATACCTATTGCCATCATCTGCATTCTGCGCATATATCCGCACCAAATTCGTTCTAATCTTACTGCATATTGTATCAATACCATTTCAGACATGTGTTCGACCACCTTTTTGATTGATACCTGAGACTGATATTATTAAATTTTCTTTTCAATTCTGTGTCTATCATTTGACAGTGAAATAACAGTTCAATCATGCATAACGCGCGGGTATATTTACTTTCAACGCTTACACTATCGTATTCTTTTTTCTCCTTTCTATTCTTCACTTCTTCTTTTTCATCACTTGTGAAGATACGAGATCGAAAACATACACATGAAATTGTCATCGCTCATGCACACTACAGCGTCCCTGTCTTTGATTTATTTATGATGAACAGCTACATCCTATTGAAGTTTGACACGTTAACATCATCCTTAATACACCTTCTCCTGGGGGAAAAGGGCATTCAACCGTATAAATATCGATTTTCCCTCCTATAGATGCAGTCTCTCCAGTTGTGATCGATACTTGTTCGTCAGCTACTCCAATGACATGCACGTCAAGGCGATTCGTTTCGTATGACATGAAGGCGAATCGTTGTCTTGTTATTGGTAATTGCTTAGTTAATTCACCGAATAGAAACCAGTTCGATTGAGTGCAAAAGGGAACGAATACGAAGAGATGAAATGGTGAATAGAATGTCGTTAAATTCTGTGAACATTCCGGCATTCGGACGAACGAAGTATTTGCGGATGAAAACCAATAATAATTACTTGGAGCAATCGTATCGAAAACAACATAATTATCCGAAATCTTTCGATTTGGTTCATCATCACCATCCAATGTATCGAACAATTCATTCCAAGTGAATCGGTACGATTCAGTTAAATTTGTTATCATGACATATTCAACAAAGAACGTATGACGTTCGTCAGACGCATATGTATGCCACATTTCACCTTGTGGACCACCAATACCTAAAAATGTCGAGTCCATTGCAGTTGCAGGCCGTTCTGGACGAAGTAGAACACCATCTAATCGACACAATCGATTTACAATTCGAGAGTCTGTGTTACCTATTTTATCCGATATCGCAACGCCACCTAAACTCATTAGTGCGACTAATGCATTCAGTTCAATATTAGGTTCGGTGAACTGTCCGTATGGCGACTGTGGTTGTATTGAATTTGTCCAAAATGTATCTTTGAATGGTATAACACCAATCGCCCATGTTACCATCGATGCTCGACCGATATTCCATTGATTAATATTCGTTGAATAATCATCACTGATTCGCATATAATGAACTTGTGTGTTTTCTAGTGTTTCTAATATATCAGGATTCAAAGGCATACAATAGATGAGTTTTATTCCAGCTTGTTTTGCACCTTCAGCTAAATGTAAATGATATTGGCGAGGGGTGTAATGATTATAAGAAGGATNAATTTCCACACCCCATTGTTTGATTTGTGAGAAGATTTTATTGAAAAATCGTTGATCTAATGGCAAAGAAACTTTGCCATCAGTGCCGTTTTTGAATAGATACTTTGTTTGATATAAATTATCAGTTGAATAATACTTATGATGAACAATTATCGGTGTTTGTAAAACATCGTGTTGTAAAACTTGAATACCACGCGGAAATACATCCGGTCGTGGCTCGTACAACTTAATTCCTCCATGTTCACCCGTGTTGTTATTCTGTTTATAGTACCAATAGGAATCTAGTTCATAATATCGAATTGGAATCTTCTCTTGTAAATGATACTCTTTTAGCTTAATGAATGTTTGCTCATACGTTAGATTTCCTTCCTTATTGTACCAATAATATGCACCCGTGTCAGTATAATAACCTAATTTCGATACATAAAAATCATTACGAAACGTTTTTTGATCTTTGATATGCTGTTTGCCGTAGTATTGCAGCATCAATTTACCCCAGAGGTTAATTATTCGATTGATACCTTGTTTTGATTGTGACGCTAGTAAAATCGTTGATAACGACAGTGACTGGTCGATTTGATGGAGACGTCCATGTAAACCACAGGATAGGTGGTAGTTTAATGATGGTGAACGTGTTTGAAAGTTGATCATAAAATTCGTTAAACTTGATAGGACAACATTTGAATCCAATTTTGTTAAATTATACAACAACAGAGGATTTCCGCTGTAGAGACCACCGTTGTAGACGTTCTTTAAACCAACACCTCGCATATGTAAATCCCAAGCATCAAGAAATGTGAAATGACCTAACTGATCGATAATATACTGATTTGATTGATTGAATGACACTTTGAATCTCGGAAATGCCGTTGAAACATGCTTAAATGTATCACGCACATTTCCCATGGACATTCCATCGAGATCAACAGGAAAATATTGTTCAAATAGAATGATCGGTTGATCGCGAAAGATTTTAAAGGATGTTTCCCATATGGTCACATTCAAATTGCTTTTCGAAGACCAACGAAGTGAGAGTTTATCGAACGAACCAAAAACAACATCTGTTCCATTAGTTTGATACTGTTCAATCAAATACAATGCCGACATGGCTAACGATTCTTGCTGAGGAGCAGATGAATAATATGTCTGATTAAAATAGATGAAAAACGGACCACTTTCAAACCATATCTGATTATCACGAATAATCACGTATTCTAATGCATCGGAATTCCAATGGAGAGTAAGAATATTATCATATGCATGAAAGACACGATTGTTATTCACAGCTTGTACACATGTACAAAATAAGAAAGAAAATATTATGACGTGTAGATTAAGTGAAACTTTCATTGTTTTTAGTTTTATCAAATGGTAACAGAGAACGATAAACACAACTCTCACCTCAGCCCCCTTTTTTTTTACATAGATAAATTCTTATCAAAAACTTTCGTTCTCTTTGCGTTCATTATCTTTCGAGAGACAAGATTTGGGCACCTCGAAAAATAATATCAGGATCAAAATCCACTCGCTTTTATTCTAGTTAGCAGACAGAGAGAATTTTCCATAAATCCATTAATAATATGTTCTCATTTTATCATTTTTATTAGGAAAATATAAAGTTATAACAAATAGTGTGGAACGATCCTAAAAATGACAAAATACTTTTAATTAAATAGTTTAAAAAAACGCTGAAAACGTCACAAAGATACATCCTGTCACGAACACAAACAAATAAATGATCTGATCATACTTCACAGAGATCACTTCCATTTCTTCTTCTTTTATTGACAACTGACGCTGAGTGATGATTGGTACCTCTCGCAGCGTTTCAATCGTCAACGAAGACAACGATGAATTTGATTCAATCGGTTTACTGGTAAACTTCGGTAAGTACCTCTGAGGAATCAAATAGGTCGAAATATTGAACAAATCAACGAAGACTTGGTATTTTTCACTACATAAGAAGAAAACCAATGTGTGTAACATTCTTCTCGTTTTTCAGATACATACGTCATTGTTTTCTGAAGATAAAAGATTCCATCCGTGCCCGCTGTGCCCGGTTTACGACCGATTTGACGTTGCACCAGTAGAATATGTTTCTCTATAATCAAAGCACAATTTTGTCATAGATAGGAAATGTTCAAACACATACGACGCCAATCGATCATCTGAGAATCGATATCCATGAGTAAATGAAGCATCTGATAAGCTTGTTGGAAACACGGTTCTTGATGATACAATGAAATCATCAATGCACTTAGCATCGCCTTGTGACTTATTCGACGTTCATTAGTATTCAATAATTTTTCGTATTCTATCGAATCGGTCATAGTTGAAAACTTTCGCTTCAATGCTTCAATTTGCCCTTCAACTGTCTCCATGTCCATATCATCCGCCTTACTTGTTTTTTCCTGTCTTTCATGTTCGATAAAACGTTCGACGGACGAAGTGAATACCTCCAGAAAATTAAACGATGTCGTATCGTAGATATGTTCTAACCATTTCTATGACAAGAAGACAACGATAGAGGTGTGGAAACGCTCAAACAAGAACTTACTTCCAGTCGAATTAATAACGAGTCTTGATTGATGACTTGTTTCAGTTGAGTTGATTGTTCATCTTTGAACATTGTGTGAACGAAATACTTCGTTTTGTAAAAATTTCGGAACGCATCGGTTAGGCCGAGTTTAATTTCGATCATACGAAACTGCAGACTTTGAAATCCACTGCCGGATGTTAAATACATTCGAAATTCGAGAAATTCAATCGGTGTCATCGTTTCTAACAATTGAAATTGTTGATTTAATACTTGAAAAACATTAACTATTCGTTTCAATCGTAAATTAATATTAAACATCGACGAAACTACGTGATCACACTGATTGAACATATCTCGAATCGAATCGAGTTCGAACAGAATTTGCTTAAACCACAATTCAAACACTGAAGCAAATCATTTCGTATCGAAGATTTAATTACAATTTTCTTACCCTGATGAACCAGAATAAAGAAATGTTCGTCATGAATAGGCGGACTGTTGTTATCCAACGGATCGGTATGGCTATGGCATTTCAATGCAGATAGAAGCAGATCTGTTCGTAAATATGTCGAATAATCCAATGTTTCTAGTTGATGATTGACTTTCGAATCATCAAGACTCGAGTGTGCGTACGGACAAGTCATTTTATGTATCTGAAATGTGAATGAAAATCAATATTTAGCCGTCGTTTTTATCGATTTCATCAGAAAATGAATCATCAAATCAGAAGCCGTGTTTCTATTCGGTTGTCAAAAAGATGATGCAATTCAAAACATTCGATTAGCTATGTGTACATATGTGTACGCTATAGTGACGACTAATAGTTTATGTGTTTTTCACTTTTCCTTCTTTCACATCACTCGAGAAACATTAGACTGATGCGAAAAAGAAAAATTTTCATTCGTGCTCACCTTTGGAGAGGTGTAGTAGTGATTAATTGAGCGAACGACGAAGTTATATACGATATTATTCTTCTATATTGATGTGATGATGATAAAGAAATACATATCGAAGCGACATCTAACTCGAACTGTTCATTATTTAAAAAAAAAAGAATTCGTCACAATGATTGCCTCCGTCATTCATGTTCTTTCGATTGGTTGATCCGTTACATCGCCATTCATTTTGTTTATTGAGACAAACACATACATCAATATTCAGTTGACAATGTCATCGTTACCAGTAAATCGAGATCGTCGTCGTTCGAGTGATTTCGGAAATGATTTCGAACTATTTGATCCATGGAGAGATTCAAAGTCGAATACATTCGCATCACTTCGTTGGATCAATCGACCAAAACGACGACAAGAATACGAAGAAAAAGTAGCACCTGCGTTAGAATCACAACCCTACGGCGACAAATATCGTGTCAAATTGGACATCACGGGATATGATCCCGAGAGTATCCAAACCACGATCGAAGGTCGTCTTTTGCTCATTGAAGCGAAAAAGAGTGGCCAAAGTGAAAAAGAACGAAAAATGTACGATCTACCCGAGCCTGTTTATGAACATGCTGGTAAGATCAAGAGAACTTCTTCCAAATTTCTAACTTTGATGATCTAGATGCTGATCATTTGGTATCGTATGTAACACCAAATAATTTATTAATTGTCGACATCCCACTGCATAATCATGAGCACAAACAACGTTACCTCGAATCGGCAACAGATGCTGATCACCAACATTTGCTTCCGTATGGTCAAAATCGTGATCAATCGTTCGATTATCATCATTTTCACACGTCTTCGTTCACACCGAAAGTTGTCAATGGTGAAGAACAAAAGAAGAAACTGGAAATGTCTTTGCCAATGGAAAACTACCGTCCAGATCAGATCAAAGTCTCCGTGAAAAACAATGATTTGATCATCCAAGGCGAACATATCACACTCACTGATCGAACTTTGGAGAAAAGCTACTTTTACAAATCAATTACTCTTCCACCAGGTACGCAAACAGATCATTTACAATCACATTTAACTGATGATGGACATCTCACAATCGAAGTACCATATACTGAACACGATCAAAACAAATGAAGATATTTCTCAAATAAACACTTTCATATCATTTCGTTAATTCAGCAATTTTTACATTTGAATTTCGATATATTGAATAAAAAAGATCTTCAAGTCTTTCATTTTTTTTCTTGTCGATTTATTATTGCAAACAGTTGATCATAACTTTATTAAAATATTCGGAATAGGTATACCTGTATGGTCTTTATAAGGACGTACTTGGTCGCCTTTCTTCTTCCATATCCATGTTTTCGGATCGATGGTTGTTAGTGGTATTCCACCCATTTTATCCACATATATATGACGGGTTGCTTCGTTGGTAGTTTGCGCTAATGCATATTGAAATCCTCGTTTATCTCGAGCATATTCACATAGAACCGTTCGTAATCGAGTCGCTATACCTTTGCCTGAGTGTTCCACTCGAGTGGCACCGATAACAATCTGTAAAACCATATTTGGTTTGAGTTCTTGTTGAAAATCATGATGAATAAATATATTATCCAAATCTTCCAATAAATCGAAGTATGGAATCGCCGAAGGAGCACTTGATGGATCGTAGGGATGTCGTTTTTGTGCTAAATAAAGATCGCATGCGCTGATAGCAGCAACAATTTCACCTGATTGACGATGCCGTGCAAGGAATGATAATCGCTCATGAAACATTTCAAGCATTGTCGGCCATGTATCTTCGTCAAACATACTTTGTGGATTTAATCGATCGAGAATAACCATTGAATTAACCGCAACGAATTCGTCAGCGACTAATTGAGCACACGTGCGTGCATCATCTTCATTATCGATTAATTCATATGTATATTCATCGGAATTCATTGATTTTCTTTCTTGAATGATACTGTACGTAGAAGAAAAACAAAACAACTGCTATCTGTGTGTGTGTGTTCGCACCGTATGTCAATTCAGTTTTTTCCTTCCTTCTGTTATTGTAGTTGTATCTCATGACTCACAGGATTTAGTCGGCATACCTTTTTTGCATTATAAGGCCAAACCGTTATTTACGCAATTACATGAAATAACCAACTTCGGTGACGAACTCACATTTGCCATCGCGTGTACCAATGCTCAATTAGGATAAGCTTCTCCAGTTTATTTGAATACAAAGGGTAAAAAAACACAAATCGATCTATTTCAATAAAGCTCCAGTCATTGTTCCGATGGGTTAAGTTTAGAATCGATCGCTTTGAACAATGGTTCAATCTTATTTGTCACCGCATCACGAAATATTTTTTCTGTTTGATTTTCAAATTGTCGAACAGAGTCGGGTACATCTGAGTTTGCACAGTTTTGAATATGGTCCCAGAATTGATCAATAAGTTTGCGATACTCAATGAAGAAGTCATCCAAAGCTTCTGTTAAGTTATTTATGATATGTGCAGCGGACTTAACTAATTCTTGATAAGCGGCCGTTTTCAGTTCATAGTTTTCTTCGTCTGGTTGGGGACGAGCACTTTTGACTTCATCACGGATACTGTTCACAGTCGCTGTAACATGAGCAACCAGTTCATCACCTAGTGAATTGATCGTCGATTCGATATCATCTTGAGGTTTAATTGCACTGCCCAATCCTGCCCAGGCATGGCTTGGATTTCGTAATTTGAGAATTAGTGGCTTCGATCTTTCCATAACAAGTGTCACTGTGCTCTGAAAAAAATGATTTGTGATATAATTCACACGTTTATCGGGAATTATATACTTACACTTGCAAGGTTATTGGCCAGATCCGTATATCTGCGTGTATTCTGCCTCTAGAAATCAATCAAGGATAGATGATAAGATCATAATTGACTATATAGACATAGTTTACATGTGAGTGAGTGTTCGGTGCTGTTGAATGCTCGTTTGTAACTTGTGTTTCAACCTGATCATAACAAAAATAATTAGAAAGAATACAGTTATATTTCTCTTCTTCTCGGTTCGAAAACTATTTAACTACATTATCTCTCATAGCGTTTTATTACCTTGGAAACATCGTTCAAACCATATTGAGTACTATCAACTGTTGATCCATTAACAGCTGGTGTCGTACTGTCCATAGTGTTTAATTCTGAATTGATACAATCATCATTTGAAGCCATAACGATATCCAATGAAATGAAAAAGTAGATCTGAAATGACTAAAAGAAAAATATCTAGAGTAATTTACGTTACTTCGTGCAAGATTGTTTTTCTTATAAAAAAGAGTATCAGAGATTATAAGAAAAAAGCACGAATACTATCGAAAAAGTCTGCTATGGTGCTTGCCATCCAAGATGTGCCCATGCGAATCCAGCCGACCACAGTTACCACAAGATTACGGATTTGGTTAAAGATCTTGTCAATTAATGATTGAGTTGCTTGAATGCCGGATGCGACTCCTTGGATGAATGTCGTATATCTTTGTTCATCTGCAGGTGTTTTACAACTTGCGCGTTTTTGTCTGGCTGATTCCTTAATTTCTTTCACATGATTAGCGACTCGATTAAGACATCCGTCACACGCCTCGTCAAGAGCTCTTTCTGCTGCATCTGCATCACTCATACTCTGCGCTTGGTTCACTTTTTGCTGCATTATATTGACATTTTCAGTTAATTTGTCATGCAACGCTGATTGATACTGTTGATCAAACGACGAAAAGTTTGCCATCGTGTTATTTATAGTTCAATCTATAACTAAAATAGAGCAATATGTAAATAGTCTAAGAAATATATTCGTATTTTGTTCAAGGAAGTTTTTCATCAGACAAGTATTGGTCATTACCTACAACTGTAAACAAAAACTGTGAAGTCCCGACAATCACTGTGTGTCTGTTTTTATATTCCCCACTCTTCCAGCAAAGATTATTATTAATGTGAATATGTGTGGTAAAAACCAACATCAAGAGCAAAAGAACATACAGAAATAAGACAAGGAAATGAAAGGAAAAATCCATACTTATATTAATAAGCATTTGTGTCATATATAGAAGTGTCGAATTCAAAGACAAACACCGAGAAAAGAAACTTTTTCTGAATAAATATCATAGTAGGATTAAACCGTTATTGCACCATAAAAGATTGAGGTTATATTTAATCATCGTTTTTTTCGAGAGTATTATTATATTACTTATTGCAGTTATGAGTTTCCAGGACACACACGAAACAGCTTTACGTTCTTACATCGACACTCGTGCAAGAACTCTCCAACAAACAATTGAAACAGCTGCACGCAATCGCACGGCAAACAATGTCGTTGAGTTAGAAAAGCAGATCGATCGTGAGTCCGATCGTTTCATTGAAGATGTTACTGCACGTGTCAATGGAATACGAGAGCAAATCAAGGCACGACGACCGACCGACGATCAAAGTCCAGACTATGCAGAGCGAATGAATCAATACAAACAATATGTATCGCTGTCATCAATCGGCATTAATCAAGTGACAACATGGGTCAATCGTATATTCAAAAAGATCATCGATGTCATCAAAGATATCGTTGAATGGATCAACGACACGGCACGAACAGTCATTAGTATTCTGGAACTGATTCGTGATTCATTTAATGATCTTGTTAAAACCTTTCTTGAATAATAGTTTATACCTTTTTCTTTCGCGAGAAAGACTCAGACAAAGTTTTTATCAATATTTTATGAAATCTTTTATTTCAGATTAGAATATCACAAATGTCAAATTTCGATAATTTCGGGGTATGTACTGAGGACTTCGGAAACTAATTTTCCCTCATCTTTTCAAATATAGTCATTTAATAACAATAATGCAGGTGCGTCTTCTTCTATATCTTTAACGGTAAACATTTTTTGAGTTTCTTTTCGTACACATATTTATCTGTTTAGCACACGGTCACAGAATCAGTTCGTAAAAACTATAAAAAGCTGAAAACATTAGTACTGAGATTAAAGCCTGGTAGTCGACAAGTTGAGCTATCATCGCTAGACTTCAAACAACTTGACGCATTCGTTGATGAAATGATTGGCGATCTTCAAAACACATTTACGACTAATATCAATGATTTGCGTGCACGAATAAAAAGCGCACGACCTGATCCGTCAGATCCTGACTACACTACCAAGATGCAAATCTATCAAGAGCTATTGAATACCATGGTTCCAGTCATTCAAAANGAAATCGATACCTCCAATGATGAGCTAAGTCATCGTACATCATAACAATAATATTTGAATCAGGAATACCATTTTCATGTAGAATTTGATAAGCGTGGCAAACATCCGCTTGATGACGGTAGTTCGTCCATTCATAAGAGCCAGCAACAAGAACAGCCCAATTTGCTGCCCAACTGCTACTAATACCAAGGAATATTATACTTACAACTGAGACAAGTAAGTGTCGATGCATCGTTTTACTTTTTATTTATCAATGAGAACAGCAGTAATCTCAATTGTTTTATTTATCAGAAAAGAGAAGCTTGAGAATATACGCATGTGTGCTGCACACAAAGTTAGTGAGAACATTATCCACACAGTCTATTTTCGGTAACATTTAAATGCAATGATTTAAATCTTTTTTGAAAAGCGTTCTGTTGCATTGAGTAAGCTGAAGAAAACTGTTTAATTCGTGTGTATAAAACACAGTTGAGAGCTGTTGAATGTTCATTGAAAACATGTCGATAAACTGTTCTACTCTTTTATGTAAATGATTGTTCCCAGTTGATTCTTAGACGTGCGAACAACATAAGCAGTTCTTCCCAATTTGATCGTCGATTGGCAAGACACATCCAAATTTTCAGCATCGCCCAATAAATGTACGAGGAACATGTACTATTTAAATGAATTATTCACCGAGTGCACTTCAAACAGTATCGCAGGTTGTTGAGTCCATTATTCAAAGATCACATCTCATCACATTACAGTGGATGAATGAATTGGAAAAAAAATCAGTTCATATTCTTCTTTAAGAATTAGCTCGAGATAGTCCAACACTTGTCATTCTTTACTTCAAGCAACTAAGAAGTTATTTCGAACAAGAAATATATAAAGCTGTTAAAATGATCGGTGTTGGAATAGATACGATCGAAAATTTCTCGAAAAATGATTTTAGTGCGCAGAGTATGTAACTCCGATTGTAGTTCAAGCGCTCGATATTGTCGGTATCAATAAACAAAAAGTGATTGACGCTGTTCAACAAGTTCCTGCACGAGTGGAAGAAATGAAACCAGCACTCAACGGCGATGAAAAGCTGTTGTTCTAGTGTACACTTTAACATTTTGGTAAAAAATTGAATCACTTTGTCTTGCAGATGTTTATTACTTTGTGCAAGATCAACGTCAAGTTAGAAGCCAAGTGTACATGCCCGAAGTAGTGTCCACAATTGGAAAGATCTTGGAAGCATCCGATATAAAAAGTGTTTTCGAAAAAAACAAAGATGTGTGGTAGATGCAGCGGCGCACAAAATCCTCGGTGTAGCTATAGGCAGCATCGAATAAATCCAATCTGGCCTGGAGAGTTTCGAAGATCATATAAAGGCTGTTAGACAACGTCTGGAATAAGATGTTCATCAGTTCAAAATCAATGTGGTGAACTGTGTCGAGTGAGCAATCGAAATTTGGTTCTTTATTCGATAGTTGGACGGATATTTGCTGAGTGTATCGGGGAGTTTATGAAAAAGAACAATATTCGAAAGACTAACAATTAAACGGTGAAAATGCTGGAAGATTATATTGACCAAACAATTACTCATTCAATTGCGGAAAATACGTGTGCAAGAGAAATTGAAAAGACTGAAAAACAATTATCGTAAAGGCTTTCCACGGCCGTGGCATTCATTTAGCAACAACAAGGTGAACATAAAAATCGTTTGGCAAATTTTACTTCAGAACTATTCGAGAGTACTAATATTCTAAACAATGTTTAAATTTCTTTCAACCTATTAGATGAAAGTCTTGGAATAACAGAAAAGCAATGCTCTACTCTGGAAGTGACAGTAACAGGTTATTTTGGAAAAATCAAATCTAATGATCTCATTACTTGCAGAGTTTATCGAATAGAACCAGAAAACTTCTAAGATTTATTTTCCGAGACATTTAATATTACACAGAAAATATACATGCCAGAGGAAGAAGCTTACGATAATATTTGTCAAAAAGCTGACTAAGTGAAGAACTACATCTTGTAATTGATCATCAATGTCATGAGTCATGGAGATTATTGTCTGTGTCGCTTTCATTTTCATGATTCAATACTTTGGAAAACTCTTTTTCTGTCTTCCGGAACCAAAAAGAGTTAAAATACGCAAGATTAATATTTCACTAGTAGTTTATTATCATATATTGAGTTACACTCGGACTAGATATTCATTATACCGAGTCTTTCATAATAGTTAAGGAACGATGTTCATTTTTCTTATTATCACTGAGGTTATGTGAAGACGAGTTGTTTGAATTTTCGTGATAGAATGGATGTTATCCATAGAAATGTATTTTATATAAAGTATGAATTGTCTGAGATGTTTTAAAGGCATAGGAAGCTGTAAGACAACTTTTAGAAAATAAAGTAGAACACAAGTTCTGATTGGTTGAACAAGATCTCTTTGATCTTGGACCTATACACAATCTATTTTCTCTTTTTAATCAATAAAACTTAACTGAAGCATGTCAAAAAACATGAATAATGAAGTCATTTATGGATAAGTGTGAAAGACAAGTAACATAGCATCTATTCACATTTACTTAGACCTTCACTCTCGCCTAAGCTTACATCTATCCAAACTCTCACTGATGCTAAACATCTCATGACAAAAAAACTTAATGTATGATATTACTCATTACTTGGTCCTTTATCGTTTATAGTGAGGACATTCTTCACAAATATCTCTTTGTATTGAAACAGCAACCAAACTTATTTCGATTGAACCAACTCTCACAGCAGTAGTCGTTGTTACTGGCAGACAAAATTCGCTACGAACATATCAATGATATTTCTAAACCGAATTGATCTGTGTATCAAATAGAACCATCTTTCTCCTTTATGAGTATGGCGAGCGTGAAGGTGATGAGTGCATAGAATAAAAGAGCACATGCATGACGTCTTTTCTCGATTTTCGCTTTATTTTAATGATGATCATCACAATTCTGGTATAAATAAAAAACACTGCCTGATGTTTATGCGATCTAGTTCTTTCAGTCTTTCTAAGCAAAACAATCAATATCGAAGAAATTTTTGAATACGCTGATTGCCGCTGTCAGCGACATACAAATTAAGTTGGTTATCTAAAGCTACGCCATATGGACTATTCAGATGCGTCGCATCGTTACCAAACATCGCAGAAACACCGGCAACAGTTGTTCCATTTGCTTCACCCGATAAAAATAATTGAATACGATGATTGAGTAGATCTGCAACGTACATATTTCCCATGGGATCAAATGTCGTCTTAACTGGTGAACTGAGAAGTGTCGATGTCGAACCCCTGGACCCATTTATACCACCAGCGATCAATGTCCATCCGCTATCACCTATTTTCCAACGTAGAATATTGTTTTCATTATAATTAACGATTACAAGACTGTTCGACGATGATTCGAAATACACACTAGTAGGAAAATTCAACTGTGAAATATTGTTTCCGCTTCCATTTCCTCCGGCAACTACTGTTCCTGAACTTGCGTTATACAAATAACGCATTATGCGGCTATTATAAGTATCTGCTATATAAATTGTACCGTCATTCATATCTCTTGACATACCGAATGGTAAATACAACTGATCGCTCGCATTACCGGAAATACCTAAACAATATAAGTTCATTATTTGCCTAAAATTGAAGAAGATGTCTCATTCACTTACCAGTGCCTGCAATCATTTCTCCTGACGAGGCACTATTCGGCCAGAACAGAGCTCTTGAGTTACTATGTTCTAATATATACATGTTGTTATCAGGATCAAGAAGGATATGTATCGGATAATTTAATGAATTCAAATTTGCTCCTGCAGAGCAGTTCATATTTCCAGCGACTGTAGTACCCGACGATGCGTTTCTAAACCAACGCTGAATTCGATGACACCCATAGTCAGCAATATACATAGTATTAAGATAGTCGACAGCCAGATGGATTGGCGTGTTTAGGCGATCACTAGCTGCGCCGCTAAGCCCGAGAATACCAGCGACAGTTATACCAGTTGCATTCCAACGCAATCTAGCCTCGGCAGCTATTCACAAGAAGGACTACCACGTTTCAGTCATCAAGTTTACATAAATACGTATGTCGCTTACGATAAACTGTTTTTGTTTTTCTTTGTGTCAAAATAACCGAAGGAATAATAATGATCGGCAATAGTAACAAGAAGCTGATCACCAGTATTGCAGCCACGCATATTTTCTTACGTCTAAAGTATATTCGTTGATGATTCATCACTTGCTGAAGAAAATTTGTATACTTTGCTTTTCTCTTGTGCTCCAAATAGCCATGCTGATCCTTTGTAATACCAAGACGACTTGAATGTGAATGAAACATCTAATATTGCGAATCAGAATCTATTCTAATCGAATGGACTGGACTCACTTTTGCTTCTGTTACTTTCGAACTGCTGTTTGTTGTCGCTGAACGATCGTCGAAATCAGGTGATATTCGATTCGAATTGTATCGATTTTTCTATGGTGGATCATAAAAAATAGTCGTGCATCAGTTCAAAGAAGAATTTACTTTTAAAACAGGGTGAACATATTGTTGAATATCAGTTGATTCTGAAGAGCATTGTGATCCAATTGGGGAGTGTGAATAAGGATGGACTTGAAGATGTTGATTAGTAAGAGGTCTCATTGGTTGTGCATTCTTTTGCGACCTCGTTATGGTTGTATTCGTAGGAGAAGTTCGGCGTGGTGGTCGTATCGATACATGAATGATTCTCGTAGATTTTGACATGTTAGTACTGTGTTTTCGATGACGATTACGACGATGATTGATAGTTTTCGATCGATGAGTTCGGCTTACGAGCATAATTTCAGTATAGGTTATGCTGAAGAAGTAATGAACAAACTTTTCCTACTGGATTGCTTTCTTATACGAGCTGTTTTTTTTTTGTCATCAAAGGTTTCCAAATATTGATTACGTAGTTAATGAAGTAGGACGATCACAGAAGAGATGAAATTTTTTTATTGAAAAGAAACAAGAAAGCCACCCACAGATCAACATGTATATGAAATCACTTGAAAGATATCCGCAAATAGTGTAACAATTCTTTTGCGAAAGCAGACACTACTCTGTAGACGATGAGTGCTTTTTTTTAAAAGGATTCATTTCATACTAATTCAAACAAAAGAAACAAAACTGAGTGCAAACGAAACTGATCGGACATTTTTCAGATCGAGAACAAATCGATGCCCGTAGAATGTACGAATATTCAACGCTGAAGGTCAATCATTTCTCCCCGAGGAAGCGCACTTCTTTTCGTAATGAAGTTAACCAACTGGTCATATATCTTTTCGATCACATCTAATGTCATACTGACCTAGCGCTTAAGATCCTGATACTCCAGTAGTACAGCACATAACTATGATATGACAAAAAAGTGCATTTTCATTTTGTTGCGTGATTCGCCTTTCCATCGACAAAAATAAGTATTTGTACATTATAATCATTAGCAAATCATCAATCTATACAGTGCATTTCACAAATCTCCTGTGGCAGATCAAACTCTATGTCTAATCTATAAGTCAGTGTTGATCTATCGCATTCCTTGTATAAATCTCAAGTGGGTCATATAGATATCATCACGCTAAAGTTGCAGTTTGTTGCTTCCAAAATATTTTTAGAATGATCTTATTGTGCCATTAATATGTTTGTACTTACGCTCATGATTCCTATTATCTGGCACAAATTCAAGTCTAATGTACGAGCAGTTTAAGTGTCATAACGGAACTGGGTTTTTACTGTTTACTTCATAAAGATGAAAAAAGAGGGGCTTAAGGAAATTATCGTCTGATATGGAAAATCTTTGATATGCTTATTTATAGAGTCGATCGCTCATATCGACGTACTTTTAGGATACTGACTTAAGAGGAATATTTTTTTGTGAGACGATATTTTATTGTAATACGTCCAGAAAGCCTGAAGCATGAGCTCTGCTATCATGTAAGAATCCTCGTAAGTTCGCATAGATTAGATGGGATGAGTGAGAATAAGAAAATGACTTTTTTTTTGTATTTTTCAACTGTTGAGTTCAATCCGATCCCACAACAGCCACGAGGAAGTGATCTGTTGCAAAGTACCCTTTCCATCGAGCAAATAAGTGGAAAATATCAAAATAATGAGACAATATTTTCACATGGAGTTTCAATTAAAAGAATGTATTGGTCTGAAGAGAGAAAAGTCAGTCTACTATACTCCGATGAGATTGTTTGTACTTTAGTGACGTTAGTACCTTGGAATTATCTTTGCTTAGCATAAATAATGTTCAAATGACATCAAAATGTCAGACATCAAAGATGAAAGAGGATTACATTTGAACACAGATAATAAAAGTATTTAAATTAGAACAGGAAAGATCATGAATTTCTCAAGATAAATTGACTACATTCATGTACTTCCTTGAACTTTAAAATATAGATGTTCTACTTTCCATCAGTTCGCCCGGATCAGTAAAAACATGGATGTGTCCCAGAACTGCCTGAACAGTGAAAATTTTATTTTCTCATAGATAGAAAAGAATATACCCAACAATAGATTACATCAAATAAGTATATGATCCAGCTAAAGAATACGCAGAATATGTAATTTACTTCTCTAAAAGAAAACAGTCTCTGATAGCTAATTAGAGTTACAGGTAACACCACACTAATCGAGGATTTTGCTCCATTCTTTTCCAGTTCAAGTTTGTATTTTTTTGAATTCTTATCCTTCTTAGTTTCCTTTTGTGTCTGGCTTTCTTGAACTTTTTATGTGATTTTGATCATATTGGAGAAGTCTTTTCACATAAATATCTGGGCTTTTTTTCACATCGTTTTTATCATAGTCTTGAGAACAAAAACAAATGATTAGTTCGCGTTGCGTTAAAACATGTTATCTAATTAATTGATCGAAGAATGATTGTATGTTGATATGTCTTTTTTTCATTAATTACAAATAATGTCATCAACGATTTATTTTTAAACAAATATTCTTTCCTGTTAATCATTAGATCTCGACAATGCATATTTTGTCATAACATAGTGGAAAAAAAGAAACAGTTTGGCTGTAAATCGTACTTGATATGCTTCTGTAGCGTAAGTGGTAAATGCATCCGGCCGTTAACCGGAAGACAGATGGTTCGAATCCATTCGGGAGCGACTCCTTTTTCGTTTTCATAATAGTGTTTGAAGCTATTGTGAAAACAATTGAGATATTACGAATGTTTTGATCATTTTCGATCGGAAAAGTCATAGGCATTATATGTAATTCATATTTTTTTTCTTTCTTTGCATTATGCAATGTTTCACAATGCGACGGGACAAGAGTACACGTGTTTCATTATCGAAATAGTGTACTATAACCCCTTACAACCGGTTCCCATTTCGTTATCAGAAATCCACTTTGGAGAAACCAAATCGATACTCGAACTAAATTTGTCTATTTTAACCTTTCACTTTGGTGAATACGTCATTACACAAAGATGAGCTTCCTATTTAAATTTTATCAATATCAGCTTATCTAGCTCGCATGAACACTTATCATGTCATTATGATCATTGAAGAACGTTTAGGATTATCTAGAACCCAATATGGCTCACAGTTAGGTTTTCTAATAGTTCCACTTGTTGCCTTGTCTACAGATCTTCCTCTTCGAGCATCCTTATGTACTACTAAAACCGATTTATAAGTTACAGTTCCGAAGAGAGAAAGTATGGGAGAAACACTTCAAGCACGACCAGTAGAGGTCTATAGACGTATGATAATAGATGACGGAAATACGCCTGTGGCAAATACTTCATGTATATAGCAGTGAAAAGTGTCTAACACGCACTAAGAAAACATCTGTAGAGATAACATGGCTATTTCTTGATGGAAAACGCTACCTGAAGCACAATGGGTAAACACAATCGCAATGTTTTGTATGACAAGGAAAGCATTGTTAAAGATGAGAATCATGAATTACATTCCTTTCGCAGTGGATATCTGCTTTAGTTAGCTATAAACTCAACATCATTTCTAATCTTCCTAATTTGTGTAATTTAGTTTTTGTTCAAAATAGGTCTAACTACGATCTCAACATCATCCACATCCACCCTCATTAGCACTCCTCTATTGTTCTTTGCTGGTTGTGCTCGATCAAATCATCCAGAAAATCTTCCAGATCGCTGCCAATTTGATTCCACGTAACATCCAATGTAGTGAGAGTCTAAAACACACCCAAATCCTCATATCAAAGCGTTAGAAAAACAAAGAAAGAGTAATCACTGTATTGTTTTGTAATGCATCGATCAGATGCTGTGCACCCGTATCTTTGATTTCGTTGTTATAAAGATCTAATGTCGTCAGTGTCTACGTAAAAGTGTCAAATTATGAATACCAATGGTAGGAACCAAGAATGAGACTCACAGTGTTGGTACGTAAAGCATCTGCTAAGTAACCTGCTCCTTGAGCTCTAATTAGGTTATTCGAGAGTATCAATGTGGTAAGTATCTAAAGAACTTGGTGTAAGATCGAGCAATTTACCTACAAAATAATCCTTACTGTATTTTTTCGTAATGCACGAGCTAAGTACTGCGCTCCATCATCTCCCATTTCGTTAGACGAGAGATCCAATGTAATAAGTGTCTGCATAAATAAACACAAGTCAATATACGGAGAAGAATACTAATTACCGTGTTACTTCGTAATGCATCCGCTAAATATTGTACTCTCTCATCGCCAACTTCATTGTTATAAAGATTGAGTGTGGTGAGTACCTATACGACAAAAAGTACTGAGAAACTATTTGATATACGTACATAACAAGACGATCAGATTTACCGTATTCTGTCGCAATATATTCGCCAGACATCGTGCGCCGTTAACCTCGATTCGATTTGAAGTGAGATTGAATTCTTTCAGAGTCTGTTCATAGAACATGCTGACACAAAAAGGAGATTGAGAACATAATGAGATTTACTGTGTTACTGTATAATGCATATGCTAAACGTTGTGCTCGGAGATCTCCGATTAGACGATCAGACAGATCTAATGAAATAAGTGTCTACGAAAAAAAGTTCGCAAAGATCTTCATTTTAACATCGCCTCAAATTTGTCAGCTACCTGATATCGATTATATTCATCCACGACCGTATTCAATCGTTTGCATACATTGCGAACGGAATATAGTACAGCGAACACGTCAAGATTATCCAAAATACGATGGATAATGTTAGTAGGTAACGTCAAGATAGGCGACGGAATATGATTTGTCATGGATATGTTGCTTGTGCTGTATTTGATAATAATAGCAATGACTTTTTTTTACTGCGCTTGACTCATTCATAAAAAACAAATAATCATGAGAGACGTGCATTGCTCATACTCCAATGAGAAAGTAACTTTGTAAAAATAGATGGCAATATAAATCACCTGACAGATCGTATCCAATGTCTTTTCGTTAGCCGCCTAATCAAGAGGAAAGTAGCGAGATTTATTTCTGAAAAGCATAGGCTACTATAAGTAATCGAGCAAAAAATGTACAGTACCCTTTCTTTTATGGATCTCTGCCCATTGCATGTTCGATTACTTTAAGACATTTCAATACTTTTTCGCCATTTTATCGTCGACAAGTAACTTGTAGTCCAACCGGAGTATTAAAATAGTCTTCCGGCGATATATACAACTTACACTTAATCTTTCATAAGCTCAACTGTAGTGACAGGAAATATCCCTGTCGGATAGTCAAGAAGATTCCATTTTTGTGCATAACGAGCATGATATGTTTCTCTTGCAGAAATCAGTTGATGCCTTTCTTTTCAAGTGCGTTTCTTAACATTTGATTGATTGTGAACCAATGCAGTCATTGGCAAATGAGGATGCACAACGTCGTCGTCCCTCACAATTTTGACTAGTCTACATGGTGCGGGTACAAGAGATGGATCTCTTACCCACGGCTCAGCATAAAACATTGCTTTCGTGGAAAGATGTAGGTCTTCTCTCAATCGCGCAAGTGGACCGGTGACAGCAATGATACTTTCTCTTCCCATTTGTGACGCTGCGAAACCTTGCAATGGGACTCGAGAAGTAGTCGGTCGTAATCGATAAACTCCATTATTTGCGGCTGGAGCATGTATACTTCACCAATGCCAGGTCCCACTTTCATTACACTAATTTTTCAATCAAGCAGTGCCTCTTCTCCATCGGAACTTTCATCAGACGATAAATTTCGATTGAAAGGATTGACCGTAGTACCATAAATAACACTGTCACATTCGGTATGCATCAGCGTTTGGTTTGTGGCTAATTAGTGCGAACGTAGAAGATAACTGCTGCTTCACAGAGAATTTTCAACACAAGTTCATCATCTTCAACAATTCGATTGATCCATTTCATCCAACCTGAATAATTCCTTCGACCTCGCATAGGTATCAGGTATTGATTGTCCAAGTAAACTTTCTTTGGTAATCGGCTCATCTCTAAGTTCAAGCGCTCGTTGGATCGATGAAGACAGTATGATTTAATGGCTTCTATGGGGGCAAGTAGAAAAGAATATAACTAAACGTCATCTTGCTGTTCTTTTCTTTTAAGTTATACCTATTGCCATTTGGTATGAAAATGCGCTTTGAAGCTGTCTGATTACTACCAAAAGATGGGATATAAACTGTTTGAACACTTGAATATGCTCTCTCGTCAGTTTATTCAGTGCAAATGAAAAAAAACAAGAATACTTTCACCACACTGAGATCTGCTCCACGCCGATATTGTCTATAATCACTGTTTGCTGTTTGATGAAAACGGTGACCATTCACAAGGAATATGTTTCGTTAATATTGGTGATTACTTATTATTGGGCGCACACAGTTATTTTTTCTCGATAGAAGTGCTTTGACTCGATCTCGAATGTCGATAAGACTTTTTCGTAGATTTGGAGTGATCCAAAAGAGAACTAAGAGCATAAATAACAACGCTATATTCATGATCATGATCAGAACGCGAACAGTATTGTTCGGTAATAAATCAGTACGAATGGTTACAAATACAACAACAATGACCACAGGGAAGCCAACAATTACCAGTTGAATATTTAATAAAACAATACGATGTACTATTGTCAAATCCCGCTGCATATTAATGAGTCGATTGCCATTCAATCGTGAGGAAATCTCGCGCACATGACGCACTAGCAAGCGATAGATTACACTCAACGTGATATCTGACAGAATGAATGACACCCCAGCTAAATAAAGCACGCACGGGAGAGCGTTGAGCGAGACAAAACATAGATTATCTATCATCAACTTTTTCATGTTCCCTGTCAAAAGCACAGGTAAACCAAAGAGAAAATCAAATAACCATTGAATGAGAATGAAGCCTAGTTGGCGTGTACGCGTACGGAAAAATAGAATTCTTCGAATCTTGAAATATCGTTCAATAGCCTGAAGAACTAAGGAATGGTGAATCCATGCAATCGTCGAATGATAAAAATAAGCGCGTATGGAACATAGCGGATCTACAACTGGCAATACTTGTTCGTCCCAAATGAACATATAACAAACTGACGCAATGTTTACCGACGAATAAAGAAGAATACCGAGAACAGTATTACACACTAGTAGAGTAAGAAAACTAAAATAACGATGGCGATTGACGAGAACGGTGATGAGAAAAACTGATGACACGAAGCAATTGATAATACAAATAGATAAAAAAATTCGATTGACGACAATTGTAACAACCATTCTGTTTCAAATTAATAATTGCACTGATTTTCTGAAATGTAAAAAATCGACATGATAGTTCTCCCAATTTATATAAACACTCTCACAAAGCATAAATAAAACTCACTCTTTAACTTGTGTTCAACAATTCTATTTGCAGTCAGTGTTCATTTCTCTTACATCTTATCAACATGCCGGAATTTCCCTTCTTAGCTATTTGACTGGCTTCATTTGCACTCTTTCTTATTCTTATTATCTCTCTCGGAAATGTCACAACTATTCTCCTTCAAGCTTGTCGTTAACTGATTAAGACGTAGATTCCTTAATGTAGGACATACGAAAGACATAAAAGTCAATGTTGAAAATATTCAAGGATCATCGGCATCAAACGGTATTATGTTGTGTCATATATTTCCAAGTCAATTATAAGATTGTCGAAGAGAAGGTGAAACGTTCATGAGCTAAATACGATTTGCCAAGGTTTTATGCATATTATTTTGTATTTTACCATACTTTCCCCAAAGAAAAAGTTCAACGGTTTTTGAAAAGTATTCTCTTTTGCGTTCTATACGAGTCTCTTTGTTAAAAATGTTAATGAATATCCGAAAATAGACTTTACATGAGTTGTTTTCATGAACAGCATGTCGGCCCAGACGCTTTTTGAAAGTTTGTGAAAGACAGCCAGCTAAAAAGGGTCATTATAAATATAGTATATAGTTACCAAATTGTTGTTGTGAGAAGGAAAACATGTGACACTAGATACGCCCGATTTTTGTCTTCGTCAAAGATAATCATCATCTATGAAGACAGCACTTATATTTATTCATTCTCTGCACACAGGAAAGCTTAGATTATATACTTGAGCAAAGTTTTACCACTAGAAATAAGTTAAATTGATTCGCAGACAGGTCAAAAGCGTAGTTCATTGGATCAGCAAATGGATCGCTGACCAAAAGAACATATTTATCCACAGGCGATTGCGAAAAAGAAGAGCCGAAGTCAGATTCCTGAGACTCTTCTCTAGAGAAAAGATTATCGGCTTTTGGTATTGTTTCACGCTTGAAATGTGCTTTTTACACTATGATCGTTTACTCGGGGATAACATTTAATAAGGTATTTAAATAAAAAATAAAATATGCCAAATAAAGATTACAATGAATAATTACTTTGAAAAATTAATGTTTGATGAGAACACGCGTAAATAACATCGAATCGTTTGACACCATTCGCGGGCGCACATCTTTGTTCTTTCTAAATCTTGCCCTTTTTTATTCATACTATTTCAAGTAAAATTTCCGAGTGCATATGATCATTAGCAGAGATTCGCAAACATATCTATGGCTTCGCATCAAGCAGCTGCGATCTCTCACGCAAGTTTATCTATGATGAAACGCTGTTTTGTGGAAGAAGCTGGTATCGAAATTCTCACTTTCTCGGAGTGATCTTCAAGAAATCCACTGACAAAGAATTCAACGAGATGCTCGTGCTGTTAAAAATTGTTCTTTTGTTTCAAAACCATTCTCTTGCCATGCGGAAAAGAAGTCAACAATACACGATCCACTGATTAATAGGTTATGTATTGTTAAGAAGCGAGTGTTTTCAATTATTAGGAACTGAGGCCGAAAGAATTTTGATTAGCACTAGAGAATTCTTTTCTCTTCGTAAAAGCAAATACAACTTCTTTTTCCTGTCGCGTTGCAAAAGCACATAATAGTATCGAGTCTTAGCATCAGATGTTTGACAACATCAAGCAATATCTTTGACAATCATTGGGCTGCGAGAAAAGGTAAGTAAAGTATTCACACAGTGAATCTGTAAATTTTGAACTAATGTATTAAAGGTATTCTCTCTTTAAAAGATTCCTATTTTCAATAGAAACAAAAAAAGGTGTTCAATATTTTAGCACATTAAAATGACACTTGACTCGTATCTGATGGAAAAATAAGCCGCGATAATATACCGCAACGATTCTCTCTCCGCTTACTTATTACGCCGCTGTTGAGATATTTGTCAGAATGTGATTGCGAGTTTGACTGCGGTTTCACGTACATTCGCAAAGTTTGAACTTTAATTACTCTTGAGAATTCATCTCCTCAATCCTATAGAAACTACGCCATTCTTGTTTTTCTATATGTCAGCACCAAGGATGATTTTTGTTGAGACAGAGAACGGAAATCCTCAGATTTATCTCAGAATTTGTCATTTCTTCTTGTTTATAAATACATCGATTATTATTTCAGATACACTTTTCCTACACATTGAACAACATGTCGGCAGCTTCTGTGCTACCTCTAATTCAAACAGCTATTACTCGGTACGTCCTGCCTATTATTGTCGTATTTGGTAATGTTGGCAACTTGTGTATGATTGCTGTTTATATGCAGAAAAAGTTTCGAACCAACTCCTTCGCAATCTATCTGATAGCGTCATCGTTTTGCTGTCTACTCAGTGTGAATTGGAGTATCATTCCACTCGTGGCTGCACTCAGCGATTACGATTTAGTGAACAAATCATTGGCATTTTGCCGTATTCGTGGTTATCTCTTACAGGTCTCGGCGCAGTGTATTCGATATTTTCTCGTGTTAAGATGTGTCGATCGTTACGTTTTATCCAGTGCGCATGTTTCCATCCGAGCATTCAGCCGACCACGAATAGCATATTTGGCGATTGCAATCACTGCGATCATTTGGGGTGTGCTTTCAGCTCAGCTTCTCATCTGGGAATCCATCGAAGCTGGACGATGTGGCATCTATGGACTTTTTGGTCAGGTATTCGCGATTTATGTTATAGTTTTTGCCGCCGTAACGCCTCTCTGCTTTATGATTATCTTGGGTATTCTGTTGATGAAAAATCTACGTCAATCGCGCACGCAGGTTCAACCAACTCCCAATAATGCCAATGGTTATCGGTTAAACAATCGAGACGCTTCGTTACGGAGACTCGTGTTAACGGAAGTGTTAGTCCACATTATTTGTACTTTCATGTCTCCAATAATGCAAATCTATTCTCAGACGACAGCAAGTATGACGTCGAGCAAGTCTACCCAACAAAAACAGGTCGAGGCGTTTCTGAATTTTCTTGCACAATCGTTACTGTTGTACTTGAATTATAGCACAACATTCTATGTTTACGCAGCCACATCGAAATCATTTCGTAACGAAGTCAAGAAGATAGTGCTGATTAACGTTCAAAAGTTAAAAGTAAATACACGGAATCAAACACGCAAATTGATTCCTGGGAGCAGACTAACAGGACATGTACAAAAGACTACTATTGTCTAACTGTGGAATATTTACATAACTGTAAGACTATATTTAAAGCGTTTGTTTAATTATCAGTTTTTTAACAAGTGAAACCCTCATAGTACAACCTGGAAAAAATCTTGATTCGAACATTAGTACCAGTATTTTTGACACCGATCGTTCAAATTGTTCAATATCATCTTCTTTTGTCACATAAACAATTACTTAGTTATAATGAATGAACACTGTATGGTATCGAAAAACATGCAGGATGTTTAGTATGGCGACCACATGAAAATACCTGTGATTTCAGTCGTTATACGTGCATAACGTTTAGTTGTACATTCTAATTACTTGTGCAGTAGCGTGTCCCGACCGTGTTCGACGACTATTTTGTTTATATCCGACAGAAATTTTAGCTTAAAATCCGATTTTTAGCGTATGAATCAAAGACTACAAAAGTCATATTGATGCATTCAGTGGATTTGCTTTGACCTGTGTCGTTTTTCTCTATTCTAATTTTTTTATTTAATCATTGGAACTAAATATAGACATTGAAAAATATTCTTTTTGTTGGAAACGTCTAGGTTATAATTCTTTTATAATTCGTCATTGTTAATACATGCATCATAGTAGCATTTTCCTTCGTAATAGCAGATATTGCGTTTTACATGAGATTCAAAGTCAGGATAATCTTTGTTACTGCGAGTTGTACTAGAAATGAGACTATATAAATGCTTGGTATGTGTCGAGTCCGAACATCTACTACCTTGTTTATATGGGCAACCAGTACAGACCAGTTCAGTTTAATCAGAAAATCGAAATCTTTTCACACGATGGAACGGCATAATGCAATAATTTGTTTTATACGAACAGAAATCTTCCTATCAAAAGAAAAGCTTCTTTAATACTTATCTAGCTGAACAGAACAAAGAAGGATCAATATTGTGTTTTGCCGCACTATTCACGAAATATTCTTTTAAAACTTGAATGTCAACGATATAATGCCTCTCTTATAAGTTGTTATTACACTATACGACAGATACTTTATGTCTAATCAGACGTCGTATTTACCCACGTGTTAACAAAAGAAAACTGAAATAGCTACTGTGTTTTCAAACTTCGCATATGTCTGCCGTTAATTCATTACTATACGAACAACATATTTTTCATTTCCTTTATTATTGCATTGTATGTAAACGGAAAACTTGTGTTTGAGGGGACGGCATACCTGCCTCTCTTTAGAACATGCATCCGACTTTCTTCGATTTGTCAAGGCACCACCGAAAGTAACGATATTACAATAAATCAGATGTGCCTTAATTCTACTAATAGTTTTGAAAACATTTTCATACAAAACCTTATATGCAAGTGAGCTGTACTATCCTAATTCACAGAGAGATGTATCAATGATGCCTTTACAAACTCATAAAATTTCAGGATATATTTTAGAGAGATATCGTCCTCGCCAATGATAACAATTAATGATTTTTGTTCAGAGTTCTGGCGCGCCAACAAATTTTGTCCCGTTTTGTGTCCGATATTGCATATCGCGATGTGCTTAAAATTAACCGTCTCCAATAACTAAATCTTAATTTTGCGAATTGATACATATTTGGCCGTTCAATCTTATTCCTTACTATTTCTGTCAATTTCGTACGAAGAAACTCTTCCGTAAGTTCACTCATATCATTGATGATGACAGCAGGTAACATATGAAACAGAGGATTCAATGTTGAATTCCATACGATAGGTATTACATCGAGATAAAATGCTTCCCATGTGCGATGACAATCAAGTCCGTTACCACGAGGAGACAACCACATTGGATATTGACGATTACGAATATAGACCTGTGAAAGAGATATATGTTCAGATGGGCGAGGCTTTTCAATGCATTTAATAAATGTCATATTAGACATTGATTGTTGTGGACAATAGCTTTTCCAAATTCGACGACGGAGTCCAGTTGGATCTGTTGCCGGTTCAAAATTGATGAGAAGCAGTTTTTCAGGAGAATATCCATTCGACAGTCGTTGTGTTAGATCGACGAGATGTGTATAATTATGTGGTTCATCTGCATCGCCATATGTTGCTGGTACGGTATTATTCGGAATTTGTCGATAGACTTCTTGGAGACTATTCGCCATTTCGAAACAATTGATACCAATAGGAATAGGAGTGAATCGTAAACTCTGGGATGATTGAATATTAGCATTTTGGCCAAACCAATGAATAATCTTGGATTCTTTATCATGAAGATAAGCGAGATGCTCTTGTGGCACTGATAGATCTCCTTGCGACGTAATAAGAACGAATTTGTTACGTAAATTTGGATAAATTTCACCAAAGAACTGATTCAAAAAATCTGCTTTCACATAAAGGATACTACCAGACGGTAGACACGGTGCGAGATAACGGCCATTCATAATCGATTGAGTTTGTTCGGCGAAAGCCCAATCTGGCCAACCAAACACCCAATCAGCCAAATTGCGGAAATTCTGCGGGCAAATGAATTCCGAGAAATGTTTTACATCGTGGGATTGATCAAATATTAATTCTTGGGACGTAAGACTCCTTTTGTAAGGACATATAAAAGCACAAGGAGGTGTTGTATATACAAATATATAGTATGAAAACAAAAGACATATCGTTAAAATAAAACAGCAATAGCGTATGCAAATAAAGCAAGATTGTTTTCGCGAATCGACCAGATATAACAGTTTCATGATAAAATTGTTGAGACCTAGATTTTTGCATCAAAAGAAATGTGTTATAGCCGTTAAATTATTTGCGAAAAAAGATAAATGATGAAATTTGTGACTATTTTACAAAGAACTATCCAGTTCGTGCACGAACTCAAGATATCAGCAGTTCATTACTCATCTATTTCCTAAGCCGTCATATATGGTCTTGAGCATATGTACATACCTATTGCCATCATGTGCATTCTGCGCATATAACTGTACCAAATTCGTTCTGATCTTACTGCATATTGTATGAACAGCATTTCAGACACGTGTTCGACCACCTTTTTCTATTGATACTTGAGACTCTGATCTTATTCAATTTTCTTTTCAGTTCTGTGCCTATCGTTTGTCAGTTAACTAACAGTTCAATCATGCATAACGCGTGGGTAAATTCATTTTCAACACTTACACTGTCGTATTTTTCTTCTCCTTTCTATTCGTCACTCCCTCTTTTTCATCACTTGTGAAGATACGAGATCGAAAACATGTACATGAAGTTTTCATCGCTCATGCACACCACAGCGTCCCTGTCTTCGATTTATTTATGATGAACAGCTACATCCTGCTGATGTTTGACACGTTAACATCATTCTTAATACACCTTCTTCTGGTGGAAAAGGGCATTCAACCGTATAAATATCGATTTTCCCTCCTATAGATGCAATCTTTCCAGCTGTGATCGATACTTGTTCGCCAGCTACTCCAATGACATGCACGTCAAGGCGATTTGTTTCGTATGATATGAATGCGAATCGTTGTCTTGTTATTGGTAATTGCTTAGTCAGTTCACCGAATAGAAGCCAGTTCGATTGAGTGGGAAAAGGAACGAATACGAAGAGATGAAATGGTGAATAGAATGTAGTTAAATTCTGTGAACATTCTGGCATTCGGACGGACGAAGTATTTGCGGATGAAAGCCAATAATAATTACTTGGAGCAATCATATCGAAAACAACATAATTATCCGAAATCTCTCGATTTGGTTCACCGTCACCATCCAATGTATTGAACAATTCATTCCAAGTGAATTGGTACGATTCAGTTAAGTTGGTTATCATGACATATTCAACAAAGAACGAATGACGTTCGTCAGACGCATATGTATGCCACATTTCACCTTGTGGACCACCAATACCTAAAAATGTCGAGTCCATTGCAGTTGCAGGTCGTTCTGGACGAAGTAGAACACCATCTAATCGACACAATCGATTTACAACCCGAAAATCTGTGTTACCTATTTTATCCGATATCGCAACACCACCTAAACTCATTAGTGCGACTAGTGCATTCAGTTCAATATTAGGTTCGGTGAACTGTCCGTATGGCGACTGTGGTTGTATTGAATTTGTCCAAAATGTATCTTTGAATGGTATAACACCAATTGCCCATGTTACCATCGATGCTCGACCGATATTCCATTGATTAATATTCGTTGAATAATCATCACTAATTCGCATATAATGAACTTGCGTGTTTTCCAGTGTTTCCAATATATCAGGATTCAATGGCATACAATAGATGAGTTTTATTCCAGCTTGTTTTGCAGCTTCAGCCAAATGTAAATGATATTCACGAGCGGTGTAAACATCATAGGACGCATCGGGCATATCCTCATAAACGGATGAAAGCCAGTCTTGGATAAGAATTTCCACACCCCATTGTTTGATTTGTGAGAAGATTTTATTGAAAAATCGTTGATCTAATGGCAAAGAAACTTTGCCATCAGTGCCGTTTTTGAATAGATACTTTGCTTGATATAAATTATCAGTTGAATAATACTTATGATGGACAATTATCGGTGTTTGTAAAACATCGCGTTGTAAAACTTGAATACCATGCGAAAATACATCCGGTCGTGGCTCGTACAACTTAATTCCTCCATGTTCACCAGTGTTGTTATTCTGTTTATAATACCAATAGGAATCTAGCTCATAATATCGAATTGGAATCTTCTCTTGTAAATGATACTCTTTTAGCTTAATGAATGTTTGCTCATACGTTAGATTTCCTTCCTTATTGTACCAATAATATGCACCCGTATCAGTATAATAACCTAATTTCGATACATAAAAATCATTACGAAACGTCTTTTGATCTTTGATATGCTGTTTGCCATAGTATTGCAGCATCAATTTACCCCAGAGGTTAATTATTCGATTAATACCTTGTTTTGATTGTGACGCTAGTAAAATCGTTGATAACGACAGTGACTGATCGATTTGATGGAGACGTCCATGCAAACCACAGGAGAGGTGGTAGTTTAATGATGGTGAACGTGTTTGAAAGTTGATCATAAAATTTGTTAAACTTGATAGGACAACATTTGAATCTAATTTTGTTAAATTATACAACAACAGAGGATTTCCGCTGTAGAGGCCACCGTTGTAGACATTCTTTAAACCGACACCTCGCATATGTAAATCCCAAGCATCAAGAAATGTGAAGTGACCTAACTGATCAATAATATACTGATTTGATTGATTGAATGACACTTTGAATCTCGGAAATGCAGTTGAAACATGCTTGAATGTATCGCGCACATTACCCATGGACATTCCATCGAGATCAACAGGAAAATATTGTTCAAATAGAATGATCGGCTGGTCGCGAAAGATTTTAAAGGATGTTTCCCATATGGTCACATTCAAATTGCTTTTCGAAGACCAACGAAGTGAGAGTTTGTCGAACGAACCAAAAACAACATCTGTTCCATTAGTTTGATACTGTTCCATCAAATACAATGCCGACATGGCTAACGATTCTTGCTGAGGAGCAGATGAATAATACGTCTTATTAAAATAGACGAAAAACGGACCACTTTCAAACCATATCTGATTATCGCGAATAATCACGTATTCTAATGCATCGTAATTCCAATGGAGAGTAAGAATATTATCATATGTATGAAAGACACGATCGTTATTCCCAGCTTGTGCACATGTACAAAATAAGAAAGAAAATATTATGACCTGTAGATCAAGTGAAACTTTCATTGTTTTTAGTTTTATCAAATGGTAACAAAAAACGATAAACACAACTCTCACCTCAGCCCCTTTTTTTACATAGATAACTTCTTATCAAAAACTTTCGTTCTCTTTGCGTTCATTATCTTTCGAGAGTCAAGATGCGGGCACCTCCAAAAATAATGTCAGGATCGAAATCTACTAGCTTTTATTCCAATTAGCACACAGGGAGAATTCTCGATATATTCATTAATAACAAGTTCTCATTTTATCATTTTTATTAGGAAAATATAAAGTTTCAACAAATAGTGTGGAACGATCCTAAAAATGACAAAATACTTTTAATTGAATAGTTTAAAAAAACGCTGAAAACGTCGCAAAGATACATCCTGTCACGAACACAAACAAATAAATGATCTGATCATACTCCACAGAGATCACTTCCATTTCTTCTTCTTTTATTGACAACTGACGCTGAGTGATGATTGGCACCTCTCGTAGCGGTTCAATTGTCGACGAAGACAACGATGAATTTGATTCAATCGGTTTACTGGTAAACTTCGGTAAGTATCTCTGAGGAATTAAATAGGTCGAAATATTGAACAAATCAACGAAGACTTGGTATTTTTCACTACATAAGAAGAAAACCAATGTGTGTAACATTCTTCTCGTTTTTCAGATACATACGTCATTGTTTTCTGAAGATAAAAGATTCCATCCGTGCCCGCTGTGCCTGGTTTACGACCAATTTGACGTTGCACCAGTAGAATATGTTTCTCTATAATCAAAGTACAATTTTATCATAGATACGAGATGTTCAAACACATACGACGCCAATCGATCATCTGAGAATCGATATCCATGAGTAAATGAAGCATCTGATAAGCTTGTTGAAAACACGGTTCTTGATGGTACAATGAAATCATCAATGCACTGAGCATCGCCTTGTGACTTATTCGACGTTCATTAGTATTCAATAACTTCTCGTATTCTATCGAATCGGTCATAGTTGAAAACTTCCGCTTCAATGCTTCGATTTGCCCTTCAACTGTCTCCGTGTTCATATCATCCGCCTTACTTGTTTTTTCTTTTCTTTCATGTTCAATAAAACGTTCGACGGACGAAGTGAATACCTCCAGAAAATTAAATGATGTCGTATCGTAGATATGTTCTAACCATTTCTATGACACGAAGACAACGATAGAGACGTGAAAACGCTAAAACAAGAACTTACTTCCAGTCGAATTAATAACGAGTCTTGATTGATAACTTGTTTCAGTTGAGTCGATTGTTCACCTTTGAACATTGTATGAACGAAATACTTCGTTTTGTAAAAATTTCGGAACGCATCGGTTAGGCCGAGTTTAATCTCGATCATACGAAACTGCAGACTTTGAAATCCACTGCCAGATGTTAAATACATTCGAAATTCGAGAAATTCAATCGGTGTCATCGTTTCTAACAATTGAAATTGTTGATTTAATACTTGAAAAACATTAACTATTCGTTTCAATCGTAAATTAATATTAAACATCGACGAAACTACGTGATCACACTCATTGAACATGTCTCGAATCGAATCGAGTTCGAACAGAATTTGCTTAAACCACAATTCAAACACTGAAGCAAATCATTTCGTATCGGAGATTCAATTACAATTTTCTTACCCTGATGAACCAGAATAAAGAAGTGTTCGTCATGAATAGGCGGGCTGTTGTTATCCGATGGATCCGTATGGCTATGGCATTTCAATGCAGATAGAAGCAGATCTGTTCGTAAATATGTCGAATAATCCAATGTTTCTGGTTGATGATTGACTTTCGAATCATGAAGACTCGAGCTTGCGTACGGACAAGTCATTTTATGTATCTGAAATGTGAATGAAAATCAATATTTAGCCGTCGTCTTTATCGATTTCATCAGAAAATGAATCATCAAATCAGAAGCCGTGTTTCTATTTGGTTGTCAAAAGGATGATGCAATTCACCCAAACATTCGATTAGCTATGTGTACATATGTGTACGCTATAGTGACAACTAATAGTTTATGTGTTTTTCTCTTTTTCTTCTTTCACGCCACTCGCGGAACATTAGACTGCTACGAAAAAAATATATTTTCATTCGTGCTTACCTTTGCAGAGGTGTAGTAGTGATTAATTGAGCGAACGACAAAATTATATACGATCTCATTCTTTTATATTGATGTGATGATGATAAAGAAATACATATCGAAGCGACATCTAACTCTAAATGTTCATTATTTTGAAAAAAAGAATTCGTCACGATGATTGCCTCCGTCATTTATGTACTTTCGATTGGTTGATCCATTGCATCGCCATTCGTTTTGTTTATTGAGACAAACGCATACATCAATATTCAATTGACAATGTCATCGTTACCAGTAAATCGAGATCGTCGTCGTTCGAGTGACTTCGGAAATGATTTCGAACTGTTTGATCCATGGAGAGATTCAAAGTCGAATACATTCGCATCACTTCGTTGGATCAATCGACCGAAACGACGACAAGAATATGAAGAAATAGTAGCACCTGCATTAGAATCACAACCGTATGGAGACAAATATCGTGTCAAACTGGACATCTCGGGATATGATCCCGAGAGTATCCAAACCACGATCGAAGGTCGTCTTCTGCTCATTGAAGCGAAACAGAATGGTCAAAGTGAAAAAGAACGAAAAATGTACGATCTACCCGAGCCTGTTTATGAACATGCTGGTAAGATCAAGAGAACTTCGTCAAAATTTCTAACTTTGATGATCTAGATGCTGATCATTTGGTATCGTATGTAACACCAAATAATTTATTAATTGTCGATATCCCACTGCATAATCACGAACACAAACAACGTTACCTCGAATCGGCAACAGATGCTGATCACCAACATTTACTTCCGTATGGTCAAAATCGTGAACAATCGTTCGATTATCATCATTTTCACACGTCTTCGTTTACACCGAAAGTTGTCAATGGCGAAGAAAAAAAGAAGAAACTGGAAATGTCTTTACCAATGAAAAACTACCGCCCAGATCAGATCAAAGTCTCCGTGAGAAACAATGATTTGATCGTCCAAGGCGAACATATGTCACTCACTGATCGAACTTTGGAGAAAAGCTACTTTTACAGATCAATTACTCTTCCACCAGGCACGCAAACAGATCATTTACAATCATATTTAACTGATGATGGACATCTTACAATCGAAGTACCATATACTGAACACAGTCAAAACAAATGAAGATATTTCTCACATAAACACTTTCATATCATATCGTTAATTCAGCGTTTTTTACATTCGAGTTTCGACACCTTGAATAAAAAAGATCTTCAAGTCTTTCATTTTTTTTCTGTCAATTTATTATTGCAATCAGTTGATCATAACTTTATTAAAATATTCGGAATAGGTATACCTGTATGGTCTTTATAAGGACATACTTGATCACCTTTCTTCTTCCATATCCATGTTTTCGGATCGATGGTTGTTAGTGGTATTCCACCCATTTTATCCACATATATATGACGGGTTGCTTCGTTTGTAGTTTGCGCTAATGCATATTGAAATTCTCGTTTGTCGCGAGCATATTCGCATAGAATCGTTCGCAATCGAGTCGCTATACCTTTGCCTGAGTGTTCCACTCGAGTGGCACCGACAACAATCTGTAAAACCATGTTTGGTTTAAGTTCTTGTTGAAAATCATGATGAATAAACATATTATCCAAATCTTCCAATAAATCGAAGTATGGAATCGTCGAAGGAGCACTTGATGGATCGTAGGGATGTCGTTTTTGTGCTAAATAAAGATCGCATGCGCTGATAGCAGCAACAATTTCACCTGATTGACGATGCCGTGCAAGGAATGATAATCGTTCATGAAACATTTCAAGCATTGTCGGCCATGTGTCTTCGTCAAACATACTTTGCGAATTTAACCGATCGAGAATAACCATTGAATTAACCGCGACGAATTCGTCAGCGATTAATTGAGCACATATGCGCGCGTCATCTTCATTATCGATTAATTCATATGTATATTCATCGGAAATCATTGATTTTCTTTCTTGAATGATACTTTACGTAGAAGAAAAACAAAACAACTGCTATATATATGTGTGTTCGCACCGTCTGTCAATTGAGTTTTTTCTTTCCTTCTGTTATTGTAGTTCTATCTCATGATTCATACGATTTAGTCGGCATATCTTTTTTGCATTATAGGGCTAAACTGTGATTTGCGCAATTACATGAAATAACGGACTTCGATGACGATATGATAGGGCTCTCCAGTTTATTTGAATGCGAAAGATACAAAAACACAAATCAATCTATTTCAACAAAACCCCAGTGATTGTTCCGATGGGTTAAGTTTAGAATCGATCGCTTTAAACAATGGCTCAATCTTATTTGTCACGGCATCACGAAATATTTTTTCTGTTTGATTTTCAAATTGTTGAACAGAGTCGGGTACATCTGAGTCCGCACAGTTCCGAATATGATCCCAGAATCGATCAATAAGTTTGCGATATTCGATGAAGAAATCATCCAAGGTTGCTGTTAAGTTATTCATGATATGTGTAATAGACTTAACTAATTCTTGATAAGCGGCCGTTTTCAGCTCATAGTTTTCTTCGTCTGGTTGGGGACGAGCACTTTTGACTTCATTCCGAATACTGTTCACAGTCGCTGTGATATGAGCAACTAGTTCATCACCCAGTGAATTGATCGTCGATTCGATATCATTTTGAGGTTTGACTGCACTGCCTAATCCACCCCAGGCGTGGCTTGGATTTCGTAGTTTGAGAATTAGTGGCTTCGATCTTTGAATAATAAGTGTCACTGTGCTCTGAAAAAATGATCTGCGATGTAATTCACACATTTATCGGAAATTGTATACTTACACTTGCAAGATTAGTGGTCAGATCCGTATATCTGTGTGTATTCTGTCCCTAGAAATCAATCAAGAATAGGTGATAAGATCATAATAGACTATAGGCATAGCTTACATGCGAGTGAGTTTTCGGTGCTGTCGAATGCTCGTTTGTGACTTGCGTTTCAACCTGATCATAACAAAAATGATTAGAAAGAATATAGTTATAACTGTCTCCTTCTCAGTTCGAAAACTATCCAACTATAGTATCTCTCATAGCGTTTTATTACCCTAGAAACATCGTTCAAACCATTTTGATCACTATCAACTGTTGATCCATTAATAGCGGGTGTTGTATTGTCCATAGCGTTTGATTCTGAATTAATACAATCATCATTTGAAGCCATAACGATATCCAATGAAATGAAAAAGTATATCTGAAATTACTAAAAGAAAAATATCTAGAGTAATTTACGTGACTTCGTGCAAGATTCCTTTTCTTATAAAAAAAGAGTAACAGAGATTATTAGAGAAAAGCACGAATACTATTGAAAACGTCTGTTATGGTGCTTGCCATCCAAGATATGCCCATGCGAATCCAGCTGACCACAGTTACCACAAGATTACGGATTTGGGTAAAGATCGTGTCAATTAACGATTGAGTTGCTTGAATGCCGGATGCGACTCCTTGGATGAATGTTGTATATCTTTGTTCATCTGCAGGTGTCTTACAACTTGCGCGCTTTTGTCTGGCTGATTCCTTAATTTCTTTCACATGATTAGCGACTCGATTAAGACATCCATCGCACGCCTCGTCAAGAGCTCTTTCTGCTGCATCGGCGTCACTCATACTCTGTGCTTGGTTCACTTTTTGCTGCATTATATTGACATTTTCACTTAATTTGTCATGCAGCGCTGATTGATACTGTTGTTCAAACGATGAAAAGTTTGCCATCGTGTTATTAAAACTTCAATCTATAACTGAAATAGAGCAATATGTAAATAGTCTCAGAAATATACTCATATCTTATTCAAGGAAGTTTTTCATCAGACAAGTATTGGTCATTACATACAACTGTAAATAAAAACTGCGAAGTCCCGACAATCACCGCGTGTCTGTTTTTATATTCCCCACTCTTCCAGCAAAGATTATTGTTAATGCAAATACGTGTGGTAAAAACCAACATCAAGAGTAAGAGAACACACTAAAATAAGATAAAGAAAGGAAAGGAAAGGAAAGGAAAAATCCACACTTATATAAAAAAAGCATGTGTGTCATATATATAGGAGTGCCGAATTCAACAGCAAACATCGGGAAAAAATATTTTTCTGAATAAACATCATACTAGGATTAAACCGTTATTGCACCATAAAAGATTGAGGTTATATTTAATCATCGATTTTTTTCTAGAGTATCGTTATATTACTTATTGCAGTTATGAGTTTCCAGGACACACACGAAACAGCCTTACGTTCTTACATCGACACTCGTGCAAGAACTCTCCAACAATCAATTGAAGCAGCTGCACGCAATCGCACAGCAAACAATGTCGCCGAGCTAGAAAAGCAGATCGATCGTGAGTCCGATCGTTTCGTTGAAGATGTTACTGCACGTGTCAATGGAATACGAGACCAAATCAAGGCACGACGACCGACCGACGAGCAGAGTCCAGACTATGCAGAGCGAATGAATCAATACAAACAATATGTATCGCTGTCATCCATCGGTATTAATCAAGTGACAACATGGGTCAATCGTATATTCAAAAAGATCATCGATGTCATCAAAGATATCGTTGAATGGATCAACGACACGGCGCGAACAGTCATCAATATTCTGGAACTGATTCGTAATTCATTCAATGATTTTGTTAAAGCTTTTCTTGAATGATTGTTTATACCTTTTTCCTTCGCAAGAAAGACTCAGACAAAGTTTTTATTAATATTTTATGAACTCTTCCATTTCAGATTAGATTATCACAAATGTCGAATTTCGATCACTTCGGGGTATGTACTCAGGACTTTGGAAACTAATTTTCTCTCCTCTTTTCAAATATAGTCATTTAATAACAATAATGCAGGTGCACCTTCATCTATACCTTTAACGGTAAAAATTTCTTGGAGTTTCTTTTGGTACACATATTTCTGTGTTTAGCACACGGTCACAGAATCAGTTCGTAAAAACTATAAAAAGCTGAAAACATTAGTACTGAAATTAAAGCCTGGTAGTCGACAACCTGATCTATCATCGCTAGACTCCAAACAACTTGACGCATTTGTTGATGAAATGATTGGCGATCTTCAAAACACATTTACGACCAATATCAATGACTTGCGTACACGAATAAAAAGCGCACGACCTGATCCGTCAGATCCTGACTACACTACCAAGATGCAAATCTATCAAGAGCTATTGAATACCATGGTTCCAGTCATTCAAAAAGTTCAAAGTCTCGCTGATGACATATTAAGTGATCTACAAGCACTTATGAATCAACTATGGGATGATATTTGCAAGAACAATGCACGAGGAGTCGATCAATTGCTTGATAATCATGCTCGTAGAACGGAGGAAAAAGTCAAAAAGACTTTTCTCGAACCGTTCGATGTTCTGGAAGAAAAGCTGAGTCAAATTAAACAAAACCAATCTCGTCATTGAACGTGAATGAAACATTGATAACCTTGCATGATGCCCTTTTTCCAGTGCAAATCGAGATATTCATAATAAACGGTTGAAAAAGTATTACTTTTAAACATGGTATGAGATGTAAGTGTGAGCTAAAAGTATGTAATAGATAAATGATGCGATTGTATTGTTTCCATGGGTCGCTGATAGCATTCGTTTTTATGTACTGAAAAGTGATTACACGATTAGGATCATCCAGTCTTACCGACCGTCCATGTACATAATAATTTTCGATATAGATTGAGCCGAAATTTTGACACAACGCCATCTCGTATCTCAGTCGACTTTAGTGATGAGCCGGATCGGTTGTACCAATGTTGACATTCAGAGAAAACAACATCTGTTGAGCTCAAATGGTCTGGCGACACACTTCACGATGGATGATCTGAGCGTCAGATCGTGAAACCAATACGTGAAATCCGTAATAACAAAAACAAAGCTGTTGAAGTCATTTACGAATGAGAAAGTGAGAGAAAATTGGAGCTACCATAAATTCGAGTATGTACCATGGATCCGCAGAGAATGTCTGATTAGTCGAGAGTCTCTTTTATCTCACCGTCGTATTTCATCAGAGAAGAAACAGAAACATGCATCTGATAGTGACAAACTGTGATTTGCGCAATTCCATGGAATAATGGACTTCAATGACGAACCTACATTTGCCATCGCTTGTACATGTTCAAATATGATAGGCCTCTCCTCCAGTTTATTTGAGTGCGAAAGATACAAAACAAACAAATAGATCTATTTCAACAAAACCCCAGTCATTGTTCCGATGGGTTAAATTTAGAATCGATCGCTTTGAACAATAGCTCAATCTTATTTGTCACGGCATCACGAAATATTTTTTCTACTTGACTTAGAAATTGTTGAATAAAGCGGTCGGTATCTGGGTGCGCACACTGTTGAAGATGATCCCATAGTTGATCAATAAGTCTGCGATATTCGGTTAGGAAATCGTCAAAAACTCCGGTTAAGCTATTTATCATATGTGTGATACACTTCACAAATTCTAGATAGGCAGCCATTTTTAGCTCATAGTTTTCTTCGTCTGGTTGGGGACGAGCACTTTTGACTTCATTCCGAATACTGTTCACAGTCGCTGTAACATGAGCAACTAGTTCATTACCCAGTGAATTGGTCGTCGATTCGATATTACCTTGAGGTTTAATGGCATTACACGACCAAGTATACTCTGGATTACGTAATTTGAGAATTAGTGGCTTCGATCTTTGAATAACAAGTGTCATTGTACTCTGAAAAAGTAGGATCATGATATGATATATACAAAAGTTATCAAGATATTTACACTTGCAAGATTGTTAGCTAGGCTCGTGTATCTGTGTGTATTCTGTCCCTAGAAATCAATCAAGAAAAGGTAATAAGATCATAATTGACTATAGACATAGCTTACACGTGAGTGATTTTTCGGTGCTGTTGAATACTCGTCTGTGACTTGCTTTTTGATCTAATCACATGCACGCGAAAGAAAGCCATATTTAACTGATAATGATCCTCGTCTACTTTTACCTGAGAAATAGTATCCGACGTGTTTGGAGTATTGTTGGATGTCGATTCGTCGACAGCTACGGCAGTTGTTGTTTCATTAGTATCGAATTTAACAATATCGATAGTATCCGGTACGTTTGGAGCATCGTTGGATGCCGATTCGTCTATAGCTACTTCAGTTGTTGTTTCATTGGCATCAGATTTAACGACATCGACTGCATCCAATATTGGTTCGATACAATCACAATTTGAAGCCATACCAGTACTCAGTCAAAGGAAGAATTATTTCTAAAATATTAATAAGAGAAATAACGAAAACGGTTCATGCCACAGTCTACAATGAGCTTTTGAAAAGAATTGCCCGATAATTTATTTGATAAAAATAGAGCGAATGAAAGTAAAAGCGTCCGAGATAGCATTCGCGATCCACTGAGTGCCCTTTCGAATCCAACCGACCACAGTTGTAATAAGATCATGGATGCGGCAGAAGATATGATCGATTTTCGATTGAGCTGCTTGAATACCTGCTGCGACTCCTTGAATGAATGCTGTATATTTCTGCTCATCTGCAGGAGTCTTACAACTTGCACGTTTCTGTTTGGCCGATTCCTTGATTTCTTTTACATGATCAGTAACTGTGTTAATACATTGATCACATGCATCCTCCAGGAATTTCTCTGCTTCGTCAGCATCATTCAAAAGTTGAGCACGATCTATTTTCTGCTGCATGAAATCAACAACATTTTGATCTAGTTTATTGTGGAATGCCGGTCGATACTGTTCATCGAATGACGAGAAATTTGCCATTATTTTGACAGAATTTCAATCTACAAGGAAAACAGTACATTGCATACAATGTAATCTATACCGCATGTATTCATATCGAATTCCAGCCATTCTTACTTTGAAAAGATATTGTTGATCACCTGAAATATTATCAAAACGTATGAAATCATCATAAAAACAGACCATGCGCTCCTTTTTATGTTTCTCACCTAGACTATTTTCTGTACAAATACACATTTTTATAACTAATAGCAAAGAGAGACTGCATAGTTTAATAGTCAATTAGGACGAAAAAAAAGGTAAAAATCCCAGTACTCACGAAAGATTGAATATATATGTCGACAAAAACATATCGTATTCGGCAACATAATATCGAAAAAGAAACCAACCAGCGCACCAGGTAAAAATCATGTTTTTAATACATTAATACTTCGTTATAAAAAGATTGATCATATTTCTATTAGTGCTCGTCGTTTTCGATAATCCATCGCATTTTCTCCCCTCAAGCATGAGCTTCCAAGATACACATGAAAAACCTCTCCGTACTTTCATCGAAACTCGTGCAAGAACTCTTCAAAATACAATCGAAACAGCAGCACAAAACCGCGATGCTAACAACGTCGTGGAACTAGAAAAGCAGATCGATCGTGAATCCGATCGTTTCGTTGAAGATGTTACTGCACGTGTCAATGGAATACGAGACCAAATCAAGGCACGACGGCCGACCGATGATCGAAGTCCAGACTATGCAGAGCGAATGAATCAATACAAACAATATGTATCGCTGTCATCAACCGGTATTAATCAAGTGACAACATGGGTCAATCGTATATTCAAAAAGATCATCGATGTCATCAAAAATATCGTTGAATGGATCAACGACATGGCGCGAACAATCATCGGTATTCTGGAATTGATTCGTAATTCATTTAATGAATTTATTACTTCTTTTCTTAAATAATATCTCCTGTCTTTGATTTCGTCGAGATAACCTCTTAAAAATTTTGAACTCAATAAAACGATCTTTGTATTTCAGATTTCAACATTAGAAATGTCCAGTTTCGATGAATTCGCTGTAAATAATCATGATTCTGTAAGCTAGCTTTTTTTCTTTTCTTTTTAACATAGTCACCTATTCGTCATAACCAAGTGAATGCTTCTGTACGATCCAGTACCGCCCATACAGGTTCTTCGTCATCTTCAACGGTAAAATTTACTTAAACTCTCCATGATATGTATATTTCTCTGTTTAGCACACGGTCACAGAATCAGTTCGTAAAAACTATAAAAAGCTGAAAACATTAGTGCTGAAATTAAAGCCTGGTACTCGACAACCTGATCTATCATCGCTAGACCCCAAACAACTTGACGCATTCGTTGATGAAATGATTACCGATCTTCGAGATACATTTACGACCAATATCAATGACTTGCGTGCACGAATAAAAAGTGCACGACCGGATCCGTCAGATCCCGATTATGCTGAAAAAATGCAACTCTATCAGAACCTGTTGGTTACCATGGTTCCAGTCATTCAAAAAGTTCAAACTCTAGCTGAAGATATCTTCAATGACCTACAAGCACTTATGAACCAATTATGGGATGATATTTGCAAGAACAATGCACGAGGAGTCGACCGATTGCTTGATGACCACGCTCGTAGAACTGAGGCACATATACAAAACAGCTTTCTCGAGCCGTTCGATGTGTTAGAAGCAAAATTGAATCAAATTAAACAAATGTACTATTCTTCTCATTAATTATTGACAAGACACTGTTGACGTCTTAGGAGATCTTGTTCGATGCTGCGGTGTAAATCTAGATGCTTTTTTGAATAAACCATTCAACACAAGTTTTTCGAAGAGAGTGTATGTCAGCTGGAAAGCCTCCCTGATTAGTCAGACTAGTTGAATCATCGATGATATCATTCATCTCTGCTGATCTGAATATAACCATGTAAAGTTGACATAACCTATTACTAATTCCCGTGTTGATATGTGAAATAAGGCTATCTAAGACGCTACCTAATGCTTCGTTCTTCATCTTTATCGTTCGAAAAACGTGATGATTTTATTAATCGGTATTACCCTATTTGTATTTTCGATCGTTAGTGCCAGATTTTCATTAGGTATTATATCTAACCCTATAAAATTGCTAATTATAGTGCACTGAATTGATAACGTGTACCCAGTGTGGAATTTCATTCATAGGGAGTTCGAACTGATAAAGAATTTATGTCGGATTTGTATTTTGTTCTCTAGCCTTGTGGAAACAAGCCGCCATATTGAATTCTGATTATATAATTAATTCAAGGAGTTTCAGTGTCAGAAACATATGGTAGCTTAAATTGGTAAAATGTTCTAGCTGTCAATGGTCTAGACTATGCGACTCCTGGTTACTGGGTATACGAGAAATGTGGTTAGACCTAAATATGCTATTTTCAATGAGTTTTTCCAGTCGATGTTCATCATAAGTTCATCCAGTTGACATCGTTCGTGAAAGAGTAGGTGATGTTTTGTGTCGAAAAACAATCGAATTATTATTTATACAAAACAAAATATTTGTTGAATTCAATTGGTCGGGCATCGATAGTATATACGTATATTTCGATGCGATACGCAACAACAAATGCGGTGCAACACACTTTACGATGAATGATTTGAGTATCATGTCGTAAAAACAATATGTTAGATTCAGAAAAAGAAAAATAAAGTCGATGAAGTCATAAACACACGTTTCACTCAAACCACATTGTTGGAAAGCAAAAGCAGCATTTCTGTTTCACGAATAACCCATACTTCAATTATCATTTGTGTACGATGGCGTATGAGATAGTAATAACGGCATTAGTATTTATACAAAAAGCTGATACTGATTCATCTTTTGTACGATAAAATCCGGACAAGATCTTGATATATATCGTACATTATCACACTATACTGATGAGATATTGAGAGCGAAAGCATTAAAGCTTCGTGAAGGTATAATCATTGTTAGTAGTATATCGAAAGAAATGGTCAAAGTTGTAGATGATATCGGACATGAATAAGGAACTAGAAATATCATAAATGCGAGCATATACCATACATCTGCAATAAATGTTTTATTAGCAGACAATCTCTCTTATCTCAGCGATTTATTTCTTCTAAGAAAAACACAGATATGTTTAGGAGTGTATTTAAGACGCATGTTTTCGTGATTTGCTACCATGGCTCTTCTCATTTATTGCATTGATGGATATTAAAGACGTAGCATTCACAATCGAGACAAATAAGGCGTCTCCTTCTTCTTCGCCAAAAAGGCAGAATGTTAAGGAAGGTTTCAAACTCTGTGGTGGTTTATTTCTTGGGTTTTGGCTGGTTTTATTACTTATTGCCATCTTTGGAGCCATTCCTCTCACCCAATTGATCGTTGGTAGTGTGCTTAAGAACGAATGTTCAATTAACAATCGTATTCCTATTTTTCTGATTGTATCAGGAGCTGTTGGTTTAGTTTTGATCATTACCGGGTTAATTCAGGTATAGTAAATTGTTCTAGTCATTGATCATCTGATACCAGTAGTTCTTTCAGAAAGTCATGACCGATAAATACTATTGTCTTATTGTGCAAATACCATTAGGACTTTTCGTATTCATCTGGTTCATCATTGTAAGTTAAATTATATTGGTGATAGAGATTATCTATCTTCTACTATCTGACTTCTGTAGGGCAATGTTTGGGTTTTTACTGCGAAGAAGACAGTTCAATTTTCTGATCCTACTAATCCAGCTACTTACTGTCATAGTGCAGTGTTCAACTGTGCTCTTGCCACCATCATCATCACTTATGTCTCGTTATGTTGTGGAACATGTGGTGGAATATGCATCCGTAATTGAGGTCCGCCACTCGTACGAAAATTTAAATGTAACATGAGAAAATTAATTGACTTTTATATACACAATCACTTATCAAATCACGAAAAAAGTATAAAAATGACTTATGAAAAAAAGGGAGAGAAATGTCCTAAATAATCAAGCAAGTCCTCTTTGATTGTTTCTGCTGATGTTCTTGGTTAAGTCGCATCATTGGTTCAAGGTAGTATTCATCTAACCATTTGTCTTCGAAAATAAATATCCTTTTGATTTGAAATGTGCGTCCTGAGATACTAATTGATGATGAAACCATCGTTGAGCAGCCGATCTGACTAGTCGGATAGAATCGCCGGTTACGGTGTTGAGATAATCTTTCATGTGGAAAAAACACTTTTCCAATTAGTATATCTGGACTAAGATGCAGTGCTAAGTAGAAGATAAATTGTTGATCTGCGTCAGATGAGATTGAATGATCGACGTTGTAATCAATGCAATGGAACACATGATTCAAATAATCGATGACCTTGTTAATATCTTTCGAATAAATCGTTTTATTCTGCTTGGATTTTGTATAAAACATTGTTAGAAATGGAATAAAGAATGATTGATATTAAATGCGAGTATTTATATCAAATCTGTACTATCACGCACTTTCCCCGATACGTGAATAATATCATAAAAATGACGATAAGAACTGTGTCTGTGTGTGTTCTTCCGTTCGTCGATAAATTCGATTCAAATATGACTCAAGTCTTTCATTTTGATATAAAATGAAGTCTTTTTAGGATTTATTTGTTAATCTTAGCGATGATAAAAGCATCACGGTACGAAAAAACAAGACAATAACGCGCTTAAAGATTTTTACGAGCTGCAAACATCATCACTAATGCCGCACCCAATAAAGCAACAGTTGATTTCTTCGTAGATACACCAGTATTGCAAAGATATCCCCGACAGCAGCAAATGTATGTACTTCGACCTTGATATGTCGTCCAGTAGCAGCCACTGTAACTGCAAACACCTGGATCAGCACCACGAGTAGCAATTGAATTAGGTGAAGCTGAGGAACTCATTTTCTGGTAGAAGAAAAGAAGCAGAATTTATTCGAACAAGTACAAAATCAAATACACTTACAGTACACCAACCATTGGGCGAAGTGGTATAAGTAACTAATGCACTGTTTTTGGTGAACGGCAATGGACAAGTTGAACAAAAATAACAAGTATTAGAAGTTGGTCGTGGCGTAGTTGGAGTAATAGATGCTGCATTGCACAAATTTTGATTACAACAACAGACGTATGTGTTCACTCCAGCGTAGATTTTCCATGAGCATCCAGTATAAGTACAAAGGCCAGATACAGCAGAACCTCGCGTGGTATAAACAGCAACAGAGCTGGGTGGACCAGTTGAACTCATCATCTGCAAAAAAGAATAGCTATTTTGATACGGGCACAATATGATATTGAAACAAACGTACTGTACACCATCCCGAAGGTGTAGAAACTTGAGTAACACCTGGGCCGTTTGGATAGAACGGTTGCGGACAATTTGCACAATAGTAACACCGCGAAGCGATACGTCCACTTGGTGCAATTGCTGTTTCGTTGCTGCATTCGACAATGCCTAGAATATAAACATTTACACAAGTTATAATGTCATCTTTTTTTTTAAATGAGATTACCGATGATTAACACTGCTAAAATAGCGTATGAAATCTTCATCATCATGTAATAATTGTTTTTGAAAGCAAAATATAAAAAAGGACTACTCGTTTATGAGAAAAAAGGACAGATCTCAGCGTTTTATAATATATTTTCACTGACGTAGCTACCTTTCACCATTTTACATCGAGATTGTGTCATTAAACGATAGATAAGGACTGTTTCTAGTTACTATCACGTTTATGACGAAAAACCAACAAAAGAAGAGGAGGATGATTGTTGTACGATAACAACTCGATCTGTTATCAACTTGAAAAATAGGCGAGCAGAAATTCATTTGATATTTTTCACGTACCCTTGAGGTTTTGTGATGAATAATGTCTGAAATAAAATACGATCGACGAAAGTAAAATTTCAATTTTCTTGCTTCCACTATATTAATATAATACAATTGTGAGTGCACTGAGAAGAACGCGAGCAAACTCTTTGTACGTGGCATTTTGCCATTCCTTTTCAATCGGTGATGCATACTTTTAGCGTTTCTAAAAGGAGAATAGATGAACTCTTGTATGTTAACGTGCTTTGAGAACGACAAAGAACGAGTTTGCGGTGCAAATGAAAGGGTATATAAGTGAACGCATTCAAAAGAAGCAAAATAGAATCTCAAAAGATGACAAACGGAAAAGAAAAATTCAATACACAAGTTTTTCCAGCAAATGATCAAATTAATGATCTACCTGGTTATGTTAATAACGATGACGAAGTTAAAAGATCATCATCTACAACTCCTATTTTTCTTGGCGAAGTTGCGCAAAGCAAAAAACATGCGATTGCAAACAATGACAAGCCGGCGATACCAGTAGAATCAAAAAAGAACAGTAGCAGTCGAAAATTGAAAACTTTTGAAATCGTATGTATTCACTTGATTAGTCTCCTATCATCCCATGACTATGTTTGTCTTCAACTAGTTCAAATTCGCTGATAAATTAGATATATTTCTGATGACTATTGGCTCTATCGCAGGTTAACTATTGTCTGCGTAAAGGTGCATAGTGTACGATTCGCTAATTTACATTCTAGCTTTGGCAAGTGGTGCTGCAACACCAATAATGATGTGGTTGTTTCAAAATGTTTTGAACGGTCTAGTCAGTTTGGGTACATCTCAGACGGGAACATCGAGCAATGCTTCATTAAGTCAATGGTAATGAAGAATTTCGTTTTAGGATTAAAAGTTCGTTTGCTTTTTGTTCTTCAATAGTTCTGTGGGAACACATGTGACCGGAGATCCGTTTGAAATTATTAAAGACAAAGTGAAATGGCTTTGTGTACTGGGTGCATGTAGTCTTGTCGTTTTCTGGGTTGCATTTAGCTTTTGGGTAGGAGCTTACAGTAAAAGTTTTGCTACTAGTGTTTTTATTGAAAAATTTTCTTTACAGATGATAGCAGCAGAACGACAAATCCGTCGGATACGGTATGTTCTGTTTTCCTCTCTGTGTAAAATGCTGTGTACTTAAAAATTCATTCTTTCTGTAGCTATGCACTTTTTGAGAGCATCATGCGACAAGAGATGGGGTGGTTTGATTGTCGGAATGCAGGTTTGAACGTTGCTTTAAAATTCTTGTTTTGCTCTTTGTAAAGAAAAATATTTGTTCTCTAGGAGAGTTATCTGGCCGTCTGGTTGGGGATCTCGATATTATGCGTGAAGGAATTGGTTTACATCTGGCAGAATTTATTAGTATTGTTTCTCGTGTTATTGCTAGCGTCATATTTTCGCTTTATACTGGATGGAAACTAACGTTAGTCTTTTTGTCTATTTCTCCGCTGATAATTTTAGCGATGGTGCTCTTGATCAGAGTAAGTTTTGCAATTATGAAATATCTTCAAGTTTACGATTTCTGCAACTAAAAATAGGTTATTGTTCGTTATACGGCATTGGAATTGCAAGCATATAGTTCAGCGAACGCCATTGCACAGGAAGTCTTAGGTGCCATACGAACAGTAACAGCATTTAGTGGACAAGTAAAAGAAGGCAATCGGTAACTATTTGAATTGTATGTGAAATTTGTCATCGAATTGGTGATTCATTGAATTAGGTACGAGAACAGTTTAAGAGAAGGCAAAAATATTGGTATTCGGAAGGGTTTTATGCTCGGCGCTACTCAAGCTTTAGTTAACGTCGTGCTTTATGGAGGAGTGGCTATTATATTTTGGTACGGGCCGTATTTGATTCGTAATGAGTGTGAAAATTATTCTGCTGGTCAATGGATTGTGGTATGTGAATGACTTGAACTTCTTTTCTTGAATTCAACATTTGAGTTTAGATATTTATTTCATGTCTGACTGCAACATTTTCATTGGCGTCGATATTGCCTAATTTGCAATCATTTGCTGAGGCATCTGGTTCAGGTGGATACGTGTTCGATATCATTCAACGTGAATCAAAAATCGATCCAACTAATGAAGACGGCGAGTCGCCGCCCTCATTCACGGGAGATATTGAATTTCGAAATGTTCATTTCAGATATCCATCAAGAAAAGATGCTCCCGTATGATGTTTAGACTTTTGATTTGCATGCATAGATTGAAAAGTATCTTTTAGATTCTAAATGGATTGACAATGAAAATCCCATCGGGAAAAACTGTGGCACTCTGTGGCTCATCAGGCTGTGGGAAAAGTACATCGATTCAGTTGGTTCAACGACTATACGATCCAGATCAAGGAGAAGTAAAAAAGCTGTTGACTTTCGAATTATCGTCTGTAATAACTAGTTGTTTTCATTTTTAAGGTCTTATTAGACGGTCGTGATATACGTTCGCTTAACCTTCGCTGGCTTCGTTCACATATTGGAATCGTTAGTCAAGAGCCGGTTCTGTTCTACGGTTCAATCGAAGATAATATTCGCTTTGGAAAGCTGAATGCAACCGATGAAGAGGTTCAAATTGCAGCTAAAATGGCTAATGCACATGATTTCATTATGCAATTACCACAAGTAAATGCTTGTTTTTTTTTAATTGACTTGAAAAACTATTATCATTTCAGAATTATAAAACTTCGTCCGGAGATAAACTAAGTGGCGGACAAAAACAACGAGGTACTTGTGTTCGCTTTGAAAAACAAAAAAAAAGTTTCCATTTTGTCAAAATTTTAGTCGCCATTGCACGAGCATTGATTTCCAATCCGAAAATCCTTCTACTAGATGAAGCAACATCTGCGTTGGACAACCAAAGTGAACGAGTCGTTCAAGATGCATTGGACCGCGCTAAACAAGGTCGAACAACCATTGTTATCGCACATCGTCTCAGCACAATACGCAATGCGGACATTATCGTTAGTTTAGATCGTGGAAATGTAGTTGAATATGGTACACATAACGAATTAATAGAACGCAAGGGTCTGTATTATGAATTAGTCAATGCACAAAGTGAAAACGAACAATCGAAAGAAAATGATAATGATAATCAATTCGAAGAAGAATTAGCACAACAATTGCAATTCGAAATGATAGCCAGAAATCGAAGTGCTTCGAATCCCATGCGACGAGCGTCAATAGTTTCGATTAAGTCATCCAAATCGGATGTTAGTGAACACATGAATGATGATTCAAATGAAACCGAGAAGAAATCATGTTTGCGTGTGCCGTTTATTTTTAAAATAACAAAATTAAATTTTCCCGAATGGCACTATCTACTCATTGGTGAAATTGCTTCATTGATATTCGGAGCGATCATGCCGGTAAGATATGATTCTGAACGATTGAGTAGTTTTCAAACTGATTGTCATTGATAGGCATTTGCGTTGGTGTTCGCCAATGTATTTGGCGCGTTGGCAGAAACTGATCAGCAGAAACAGGAAGATGAAATTCGTACGTACACTTATACGATTTTTCTGATTGGCCTCGGCGGTGCTATATTTCAAATGATTTCATCGACTGCATTAGCCAAAGCAGGAGAGGAGTTAACCGCTCGTATGCGAGCAATTTCATTTCGAACTATGTTAAAACAAGAAATTGGCTGGTTCGATTTGGATGAAAATAACTTGGGTGCGTTAGTCACGCGACTATCATCAGATGCTGCATCACTCAAGGGTCTAACAGGACAAACTTTTGGCGCGATATTGAATGCGATCGGTGCTTTAGCATTCGCTCTGGTAGTTAGTTTTACGGCCGGATGGAAATTGACATTGGTTTTGTTAAGTTTATCTCCGTTGATGGTTTTTACTGGTATGGTTCGCGAAAATCAAAGTGCGACGAAGAAAGCCGCCGCCAAGAAAGGCTCGGCAACCACAGACTCCGAAGAGGGTGGCAAGGTATGTTTTCCGTTGTCTTTTATAACGAATAAACGCAATCGTGTTTAGTATGCAACCCAAGCAATTGAAAATATTCGAACCGTTGTATCGCTTCATCAAGAACAATATTTCATTCGTTTATATAAAGAAGCATTTGATAAAGAATTTCGACATGAAATGATTCAGTTACAATACGTTTCACTTTCAAATGCCTTGGCAAATTCGTTGACATACTTTCGTACGTGTGCCTCTATATTTCTATTTTCTGATGATATTCTTGTCTTCTAGTCAATGCATTAGCATTTGGTTATGGTACTGATCTTGTCAAAGCTAAGGAAATGGAATTTCAAAATGTCTTCAAGTGAGTAGAGTTGAGTTTAAGCGACATTTTATGAAGTTAATTCATTTGTTAATAGAGTATTCAATGTGATTATGTTTGCTTCGATGTCCATGGGTCGAAGTGCATCGATGATTCCGAATTATTCGAAGGGAAAAGAAAGTGCCCAACGTATATTAGATTTGAATGATCGAATATCTCTCATTGATCCTGATGATACATCTGGAATAAAACTCGTAAGAGAAAAGCTTATCTTTCTATCCCATCAAAGTAGTTTAATTTAGTCAAAAGTCGAAGGTGATATTGAATTTCGAGATATTCGCTTTCGTTATCCCGCTCGACCGAAACTTCCTATTCTTCGTCGTCTGAAACTGAAATGTCCATCTGGTGTCACGACAGCTTTGGTCGGTCCATCGGGCAGTGGAAAATCAACCACAGTCGCTTTAATATTACGTTTCTACGATCCATTAACTGGTCAAGTTCTCTTAGACGGACATGATGTTAAAACCTTGAATATTCAATGGTTACGATCATTGATTGGTCTCGTTCAACAAGAGCCCGTTTTGTTCAATTTATCAATTCGAGAAAACATTGCTTACGGCAATAATGACAAATCAGTAACGCAAGAAGAGATAGAAGCAGCGGCTACAAAAGCAAATATACATAGTTTAATCACTTCTTTACCTGAAGTAATTCGTGATTAATTGTTAGTTCGTGCCTTATTTCTATTTCGACTATATTTCCAGGGCTACAATACGTCATGCGGTGCGAAAGGTGGACAATTATCTGGCGGACAGAAACAACGAAGTAAGGAGCAAAACGATTGAATTTAACCATGAAACTTATTCTTCTTTCATTGAAGTTGCTATTGCTCGAGCATTGGTTCGTGCACCGAAAATTCTTCTACTTGATGAAGCAACATCAGCCTTAGATAATAAAAGCGAAAAAGTTGTACAAGAAGCGTTGGATCAAGCGAAAGAAGGTCGAACGTGTTTGACCATAGCTCATCGTCTGACCACAATTCAAAATTCCGAACAAATCTGTGTAGTGGATCGAGGAGTTGTCAGAGAAAGTGGAAATCATCAGCAACTAATTCAACAACAAGGGATCTATTACAAGTTAAATATGGCTCAGCAACGTAATGATGCATCTCATTAGTTTACTTTTGTAAATATCTTTCTTGTTTTTATGAAATTTTTATTTTGTTAATAAACTTCGTGGAGAAAAATAACGTTGACATAGGTAAAGAAGTACCGTACCTGTGACTAAGCCAATTCCAAGTTTAGCTTCAGTAGACCAGCTGCGTGGACGTTCTTTTGTTTTTTTGTAGCAATCTAGAAAGAATTTATACGTTCCTGATTTCAATGCATCGTAACCTCCATGTTCGATAACCATTCCGTGTGCAACGATCAGACGATCGAAATTGCGATAGCGTGTCAGCATTTCATCAAAGTCCTGCTTATTTCCTTCGAGATCTTTTTTGAAAAAGTATTGAAATGGTTTAGTAACACAAGCACGCCGGTAACCGTCAGCTAACCATAGGTACGTTCGAAAGAGAAAGCCTTGCGCACGGATTCGCTGTTCAGATGATTCTTCATAATAATTGAAAGCCAAATCAGTAACAATCAACGTTGATGTTGGTCGGTGGTAAAACAGCACTTCGTGAATGTACTTTATATGATAAAAACAGTAATATTCTACATCCTGAACTGGCCAATCGAAGGAGAGAGTTGTTGTACAATGAGGATTGCATTCCAAACCGTCGTTTGTAAAATAAGCATGGACATGTTTTCGAAATTTTTCATCTGACTTCATTTCACTTGTGGCAATGAGATAAGCTTGAGGATATCGTGCGAGAAATTTGAGTGCCCAAAAAGTATGATGTTCATTCGGAATAATTATGTACTGAACTTGCCCTGCGGAGAAGAGAAGAAAGATGCCTATGCGCTCAAAGAATGGTTTTTTACTGACCGATTTCTGCTAATAAGGTCTGTAGTAGATCAGTCGGTGGAAAGGGTGATATGACGATCAATTGATTGGATTTTGATAAACGAATAATTGTCATACGAGTAGGGAGACGGAAGAGACCGTATAGCATTGTAACTGAACCTTCGTATGTCCATAGATTTGTATCGTGTTGAATTAAAGCGGTAGCAGTAGTTCGAAATGAATCAGTCATTTTTTACTATCGAACTATTGACAATCCAGGCTGGAGATCATTCAATCCAAATGGATTATTCAACAATCATATCTCTGTCAATCATAGAATTGCGTGAGAGATGTCGCAGACAAACAAGAATACATACAGATTATTGCTGTACACACCATATTTCAGAATCGAGCAACTTTTCGATACATTTCACCTTCTTTTTGATGCACTTACAAAAGCCCTCATGACTTTTGCAGCACGTCGAATATGAACGCAGAAAATTAACACAATAACCGGCCATTATTGGAGCTTATTCGAATGTAAACTTTATCCCACACGCGCGGTAAGAAGAAACATATAATTAGGAATTCACATAAAAAAAGACACGTCATTTACAGACTTGCTTTTAATTTTTGAAGAATGACAAAGGAAATGCACACTTCATCACCATCTCCTTCATTTTTCAGATTTGAAACAAACGATGGCAGGCATCGCGAACGAGACCTCCGATTATGATGATGGTACTGGTAGTTATCCTGTGCTCGAATCATCATTCTCGAAAAAATTCAAATTCAGTTTTCTACTCGCTTGCTTAATTCCATCGACTATTTGCAGCTTAACCCTGTTCTACTACTTCATACGGCTATCTGAATTGCATAGAAAACGACATAATTATGTGTAAGGATATGCACTTAATTGAACCTATTGACTGCACATACTTCTCTCTTTAGGATAATATGTTTATTAGTTTGCAATTTTCTCATCGCAACAACTGAACTACCTGTCACTCTCACGTATATTCACTTCGATCAGTTAGTTCCTCCATCTTCCTCACTTTGTTTCTACTGGATCTTTATGAACTACCTTCTTTTCCCAACAAGTGGTTGGATTATGGCTATCGCCTCACTCCAACGCTACTTTTTCATCTTTCACAAACAGTTCATCAACACTCATCTCAAACACTATCTACCGATCGCTCTACCACCGATCCTTCTTTTCATCTGGTACACTGCACTCATCTTCTTCTATCCCTGCCAGCAGTTCTTTGATTACACGCAGCTGTGGTGCATTGGTGCTTGCTATGTATTTGAGGGAACGATCGGTACAATTGATTGGATACTCAGTTCGTTGGTTCCTGTAATACTGACGATCGTATTTAACATTGTTCTTTGTGTGCGTGTCGTTTATCAAAAGTATAAAATGCATCGTGGTCGAACATGGCGAACCACGCGAAAGCTTGCACTTCAAATATTTATGATTTCGTTTCTCTTTCTTGGTATTTATCTACCATTGACACTCTTTGGCCTGATCCGTCTTTGGTTCGATCCCATGTTTTTGCTTGTTTTAACAATGGTCTATTTTGCGTACATTGTGTATCTTGTTCCACTCCTAATGCCATTTATATGTTTAATAAGCATGCCTGAAATCACAGCTAAGATCAAACGCACATTACATCCTGGTACTCGAATTGAACCAACACTTTTTCAACAACTCCCCTTGACTATGATTACAAGACGGCACATGCAAGTTCAAAACGCCAGAATTTAATTTTATCCTAATACAAAAATATATATATATATATTTAGATCGTTAATTATTTGTTGTTTGCTATGCTTCGGATTGTGATAAGCACGCTGTAATTGACATATTTATAATTGAAAGGAATTGCGTAAGCAGTAGTACCAGGAAAACGGTCGAAGCTATTTTATGATTGATAAAGAATGTTTTTCATTCTGTTGTTCCAATGTTCAAGAAATTCTCTACTGTTACTGAGGATAGACGAAAACTCTCTATAAGGGAGAAAATTCTCGTTTTGAAAATTATTGAAGTGGAGAATTATAACAGCGAAATATTTCTCAGTGGAGCCTCCTGCTTTAATGATAACTGTCAGACGTAATTAACCCTTGCCATCTTTCGTGACAACTACCGAGCATGTCATCTGATGATTCCAATGAAACGTTAATTACAAAGATGACAGTTATTTATCTTTGAAAAGTTTGTTCTCAAAAACGATCAAACTCAGCATTTTATTTTCCATTTTCCTTTTATCCGTTATTTGCCTCTTGACTCTGTTCTACTACTTTATTCGATTTGACGATTTACAGAAAAAGCCTCAAAACCACGCGCAAGCACATGCATTCATCGATTCTATAGCTAGGCACACTATTTTTTTGCAGGATCATATGTTTAGTATTTTGCAATTTTCTCATCGCAATAACTGAACTACCTGTCACTCTCGCCTATGTTCGCTTTGCTTCTACTGGATCTTTATGAACTACCTTCTTTTCATCTGGTACACTGTACTCATCTTCGTCTATCCGTGTCAACAGTTCTTTGATTACACGCAGCTGTGGTGCATTATGGGGCTTGCTATGTATTTGAGGGAACGATCGGTGCAATTGACTGGATACTCAGTTCGTTGGTTCCTGTAATACTGACGATCGTATTTAACATTGTTCTTTTCGTACGCATAGTCCATGATAAATTCCGAATGCAACGCAGTCGAAGCTGGCGTACTATCCGATATCTTGCACTTCAAATACTTATAATCCTTCGTTTCTACTTCTTTTTACAACGACATATGTCGTTTATTTTGCACATCTTGTTCTATACTCCTGATGCCATTTATATGTTTAATAAAGCATGCCTGAAGTGAGATCTAAATTAAGACATTTGTGGTGTCTCAGTAACACAGTAACTTCAACGTATACTCGACCGAGTCTTAGAAATTTAGTTTCTAGAAGGCACGACTGGTAAATTATAGTGTGATTCAATGATTTACGCTAAAACCTATAGCTTTCGTGTCGTTTTTATCATGTAAATGTGGAAAAACCCACATGACGCGTATTTTTATTTATTTTTGCTCCGTAAAAGAAGAAGAGAATTTACGTCATCACGATGTCTACATTATTCAAGTTATTTTGTTTTTTGAGTCGCAAGACACGTAATAAGAGCAGTCGCTCTGAGTTTGTCTTAAGACTTGGCCAATGTCGCATGTTAGTGCGCACTTCAATAAAATGTTGTTCTTAGGTGTTGTGAGTAAGTTAATAGAATATAGAAACGTCTACTTATCAGTTTCCACTGAGATATCTAGGTGAGAATAAGCCAACTTGTTATCAAAACATTTTCTCTTCATTGAAAAAGTAGACACCTCAACAGAATATTTATATCATTCTGAGCTTACGTCGCGACAATATTGTACGTGATTCTTTAACCATGACCACTAGCTCGAATGTGTGGGCTTTTCCTGAAGCTCTATGTCCTGATTGTTCAACATGCAACAAACCCATCGGAGTTTACCAATGCATCGGTTGTGGCAAGATCTTCTGCTCACGAGATACTGCTGGCCACCGGCAGCTGCTAAGAAGCGAATTACATGAATTGATTCACGAGAGCGAACAATGGAATAACTACTGGCATGAAGAGGCGCGCAAACGGCAAAAAGTTCTGAAAACTAAACAGGAGGATATTTATCAACAGATTGATGATTGGGAATTGCAAGCGATTGCAAAGATCAAACAAGCATCGGCTGAAGCTCGAGAAAAAACGAGAAGATTATTCGAGCATCATTATAATCTCCTACCGAAATGGACTTTACTGGATGTTTCAGCCTTGCGACGAGCTATGGAAACAGATGGATTTTTAGAAACACATTTAAGCAAATGGAAAATTCAACTGCAACGTCTAAAGGGAAAAATTAACACATTCATCACAGATTTCATTCGCATTCGAATGGTCGATCCGTTTCTTTCGAAACTCGTTATTGACGGTGAATATACAGCTTATGACGCAGTCGAACCAATCGAGGATCCGGATACAAAAGTTCTCGTTCCACCTGTTCATCTAATGGTGCCAATTGATGGAGATTTTGACCCATATAATGAGGGCGAATTAAAAACAGGCATTCATCATTTTCGTTACAAGAGTAAATGCATCTTCTTTGGAGTAGCATCGAAAAAAGCCAATATAGGCAAGGAGCCTTGGAACACCCCTTCGACTTACGGGTGGACTGGAGATGACCTTGTTTATCTCAATGCCAATCCTATTCAAGGCTATGATGGATATCGAAGCAATCTAGAACTAGGTGATACCTATTTACTAACAGTGGATTGCGATCATAAAGTGATTCGTTTAACGAATGAACGTACTAACGAAGCTCATGTCTTGGATGTTGATCCAACGAAATGTCCTTTACCATGGCAATTAAATGTTCGGTTTCTTGATCACGTTCAACCGTAAAAAAGAATTCATTTTTCGAGTGATTTTATTGTAATAAAATCTTCCTGAATATGTAACTACAGAATTTGCTTTTATTTTAATCCTTTTGATTAATTATTCACTATACTCCCGAATATACTGTTTCTTTTCAAAATACCACAAGAGAAATAAATATTAAAAAAAACATTTCTCTTTATCTTTGCATACGCGAGATATTTTATCTTTTGATTTTGTGGTATGCGTCTTTTACTATTCCTTTGTCAATATGTACGTTTCACGACGCTTTATATAGAATAAAAGTATATACTTCTTTCGTATATCTGGATAAATTTCGCCGAGAAATAATTGAAATGTATAGAATTCACATCATATATCTTAGTAATCCGCTGACGATTGTCAAAAAATTGCTTCAAATTGAAATGAATGTCATGTCATATATGACATATGTTAACAAAAGTGATTATTAGTTATTTGAATCACACATCAAGAAAAGTGAATAATGAATTCTCTTGCACGAGAACGTTTGAATCAACACTATTGCTTGGACAAACGTGATTGCTTAGAACTTGGTTCCAATGCGGGCATTCCATTGATGATTGGTGTGGTTAGTCTTTGGATTGCTATTAATCAACAAAAACTTGATACATCTAACCATGCACAAGATATTCGATTATCCAATGCTGAGCGCACACAGGATAGAGTCATTGCACGATTACAGTGTGACGAAGATCGTGAAACGGTTCGGTTACAACGTGAGGAAGATCGCGAAGCGGCTCGACTGCAGCGTCTCGAAGACAAGGAAACAGTTCGATTACAACGTGAACTTGATTTGAAAATCACCAATGACAAACGAATACAAGATTATGAACTTGCAGAATTGGGAAGAGACATGTCTGAACAACAACGGGCACAAGAATTAGAAATTTCACATCAAAATCGAATTACTGATCTCCTGTTAGAAGACGGTCGTCAAAAGGAAAATGTACTTCTAGAATATCAAGATGATCTGGCGACATTGCTATTAGAATATGGATCGTTATTCAAAGATCCGAATAGTAAATAGTGGTTTATACTTCAGATGAAGACTGCTGCAGCACTACGACAACTTGATCCTCAACGCCGAACTGTTCTTGTGAATACACTTTTCGATGCAGGAATTCTTGATTTAGAACGAGATCGTAGTCAATCATTACTTTATAGGACAAACTTGAGCGGAGTGGAATTCGGCTATTTAGTCGGTAAAATCGACCTTGATCTCTGTACTAAATATGATTATCTGAATGCTGCAGGGGCCGATCTTCGATATGCTTCGTTTCAATGAGTGTGTCTGTACGATTCGCCCATATTTCAGTTTTCAAATCTGGATTATACTGATTGGTGTAACAGTATTATCGCAAATGCTTACTTTCAAAATGATATCTCTATGAATGCGGCCAGATTCTTCCGAACACACTTAACTGCAATTGTTTCAAATCAATATGGAACAGCCGATTGATACGAATGTTCAATCAAGTACGGAACGAGGAGGTCGTGAAAGTAGCAATTGTTTAAAAACAGAATATTATTTGAAAGTTATTTCAAATTTAACCACTCCGCTAATCATTGGCGGTTTTACAATTATTGCTTCTATTCAACGGCAAAATGTTGCTCAAAGTCATCGTCAGAAGGATGTTTTAGTGCGAGCGGAACGACGTGTCAACGACACAGAGGAAGCTCAAATTCAGCGCGAACAAGATCGTGAAATAGCACGGTTGTTACGTGAGGATGACAAAAATTTCTCCCGTATCCAATGTGTAGAAGATCAGAATTTGTCGCAACGAAGATCGAGAACTGACACGTTTTCAACTAGACGATGGTAAACAAACGGCTTATTTACAACGTGAATTAGATCTTCAAATCGCTACAAATAAACTAAAACAAGAGTGTGAATTAGCCGAAAAGCAACGTAGTCTTTATCGAGCTCAACGCGCCCATGAAATCGAAATCGCGCAACAAAATTCTTTGAGCAATTTGAAACTAGAAGATGAACGGTGGAAAGGAACGATATTAGTCAAATACCAACGGGACTTAGCCAAACAATTACTTTTCGTTGATACGAATGGTAATATTTCGCATTTTATACATATGGTCATCTTGCAAATGCGAACAAGATCAGCATTGCGACTTCTCGATCCGAAACGTCGAACCATCGTCGTTCATACTCTCCATCAAGGTGGACTGCTTGATGTGCCTTGGATAAAACAGCAATCACCATTATTTCGTGTCAATTGTAGCGGAGTGGATTTCGGACCTTCTGCTGGTTATACTACGTCCAGATTTTTATTGTCATATACTAATCTTGACATTGAACAAGCCGATCTTCAATATGCAACATTCCATTCGGTACAGTTAGTAAACTCACCGACATTTGCCTTTTCTAATCTTGAGTATACGGACTGGTCTTATGCAGAGCTGGAATTTATTGAATTCAGTGGTAAACTAACGATGAATTATGCAATATTTACTAAATCGAATTTCGAACATGTCACATTCAAAAAGATTCCGATGAATGGCGTTTCTTTTCAAAACAATGTTAACTGTAACGAATGTATCTCTACAGAAACACCCTTGTTACACGCACTTTTCGACCATGCTGATATCTATAAGTCCAAATTTATTCATTTGTCTATGGCGGATGCTAACATGAGTAAAGGAATCTTTATTGGCATGCGATTTGAACATTTAAATCTTGACCGGGCTGATTTTTCAGGAGCGAACCTTATGGGAGCTGTATTTCGAAATGTTTCTTGGGTAAATTGTTCGCTGGAAGGAGCTGTAATGATCAATATGACATCGTTTATTGATACAGATC